AAAAGTTGCATCACGCCCTCTCTGCTTGAAGTCCCTGGACAAAAAACTTGTTAGAAGCCACTTGTCACATCTCGCCTCGCGTCTCTAGTCACGTTTCTGTAGTCACGTCTCTGGTCACGTCTCTAGTCACGCCTTTGGCCACGTCATTTGTCACGTCTCTTGTAGCAACTCTGGCCACGTCTCTCGTCCTGACTGTTCGTCAAATCTTTCAAATGTGTCTCACCGCGCCTCTCGTCACGACTCTGTCACGTCTCCCACGTCTTTCTTGCAGACTCCCGTCACGTCCCTTGTCATGTGAGTCGTCACCTCTCTCCTCGCGTCTCTGGTCTTTTATCACGTACAGGCGCGTCACGACTCCGTCGCGTTTCCCGTCGCGTCTTTCTCTCGTCACGTCTCTTGTCACGCATGAGTCGTCGGCCCTCGCGTCACGTCTCTGGTCACATCTCTCGTCACAACCCTCGGCGCGTCTCTTTTCGCACGTCTCTTGTCACATCCCTCGTCGCGTCGCGTCTCTCCTCACACGTCTCTTAGGACATTTATCGCCACGTACAGTATCTGGCTCCTATATATACAGATATAGTCGCGTCTCCGGCGACGTCTCAAGCCACGTCTCTGGTCATGCCCCTTGTCAGGATTCTCGTAACAGCGTCTCTTGTCACGTCTCTCTTTTTTCGGGTCACGTCTCTTAGTCACGTCTTTGGTCACGTCACGTAACAACGTTTCTTGTCACATTTATCGTCACGTACCTAGTCACGTTTTTGGCCAAGTCCCTTGACAGGTCTCTTGTAACAACTCTGGCCACGTCATGACTTTCATCACACCTTTCATCACGTGTCTCGACGCGCCTCTCGTCTAGCATCTCCCGTCACATCTTTCTTGGAGACGTCTCCTGTCACGTGCGTCGTCGCCCCTCGCGTCACGTCTCTGGTCACGTCTCTGGCCACGACCCTCGCCACGTCTCTTCTCACACGTCTCTTGTCATATTTGTTGCCCTGTCTGTGGAAACCTCTCGCGACACGATCCTCGTCACGTCTCTTGCCGCATCTCTCGTCACGTCTTTGGTCACGCCTTGTCTCACGTCTCTCGTCGCGACTCTCCTCGCACGTCTCTTGTCACATCCATCCCCTCCATGGTCACGCCTCTGGTCACGCCTTTGGCACCACAGCGAAAGCGATTCAACCAGCCGAAGTGCGCAGAGGGTTCTCTGTGCAATCTCAAAATGTGCACCGCGCCACAGCGAGATCGATTCGACCCAAAGTGCGCAGAGGGTTCACATTGCGATCTCGAAATGCGCGCCGCGCAACAGCGAGAGCCGCCCAAAGCGCGCAGAGGGTTCACTTTGCAATCTCAAAATGTGAGCCGCGCCTTTGCGATCTCAAAATGTGCACCGCGCCACAGCGAGAGCGATTTGACCCACCCGAGCGACTCGACCCATCAAAGTGCTGCGCCTGCCACGAAACCTGCACGCAAGCTAGAAAGTACTGCGCCTGCCACGAAATCTGCACGAAAAGCTCTCAAGCGCGGCGCCTGCCACGAAATCTGCACGCACAGCTCGAATGTGCTGCGCCTGTCACGAGAAATGACGTTACAGCGACATGCAAAACACTCAAATGCTGCGCCTGCCACGAAATCAGATTTTGACATTCTCGCGTCGCACGTGGAAAACTAGCGCGGGACTGCAGCGCCAGAATGATTTCGACCGATTTCTTGAACGATTGTACGACAGGCCAACAAAAACGACACTCGAGGAAACGATTGCGCGCGCATTCCAAGCAAAACACCTCAAAACGACGACCCCTGAAACGCAAATCACACTGGATTTGCAACGCAAACGTGAACCTTGACAAAACACTGCGCCAACGTCTGACATGCTAAGAGCTACGATTCCCGCACAGGGGGACGAAAGCATAACACGCTTCAAGTCATCCAGATGGCACACGTTTCGCTTTCCCCATTGGAACCGCGTGCGCGACACTCGCGGACACATACGAACGCTTGAGAACGTAAAATCAACGACTTCTGGTCACGTCCGAATCCCGGGAACCCGTAAATGGAACCAAAGACAAAAACCCGCGGTTTGCCCCAGCTCTTTAATTTTGAGCCATGCCCCCATGGCCACATCAATTCGGGGTTCCCATTATCTCTCCGCGCCTGATTGGCCGCCGCCTTCCTGGCGCGCATGCGCTCGTCGCAATCGTCGCAAGCGCTTTGTTTCTTTGGCCGCCGGAAAGCCGACCCGCGTTTCACCCAAAGGGAAACACCAACCAGTTCAGAATGCACATAATCTCAAAAGGCCATGGGTCAAACCCCAAATCGTACCCCCAGTGAACATCCCAATCCAACCACTAAAATAGACTAAAATGGGTGGTGCACCTACCCCAACATGGTACCATTGGTTTGACCCACCGCCAAAAAACAGAAAAACAAAAACAAACTGCTACTAGGTGGGATTTGTTGGAAAGCATTAGCATTTGAAACAGGTTCAGTCCGAGAGAAGACACACGCCATGGGGCAACAGTCCCGACCGTGGTCAGGCACCTGGGCCTGGAGACATGCCGCTGTTTTGGCAGGCTCAACTGGCTTGTCACCAACTTCACCGGAGTCAAAACCCGGTAGTACAATGGTCGTAATCCCAGAACCATGTGAAGAATTAGGAAGGCGGCCGCAGCTATGTATGGTTGAAATTGTCCCTTACTAACCTTCATCTACCCGGGTTTTGATTGTGGCTCACCTATTGGTTGCTTATGCTCCGTTCCCTTGCAAATGGGAGCCGTGTCCCGGCGGTTACCCCTAACACAACTCCAAAAAGAAGCGTTCCGAGTGTTGACTCTGAGGGTGTTTGTATTATAAACTGGGATTACACCCTTGGGAAATGACCCAGAATGGTTCAAAATAACACGGTTTTATCCGGACATGTGCCTAAATGGGGTCAATACCCAGTGGGTGTATTCCCAGGGTGTCATACGAAAACCTTTAGATTCACAGATTCTTCAAATTTGAGACCTCCATGGTTTGAAGAGAGCTTTCCTTGACTGCCTTGTCCTTCTTGGATGTCCACCCTAATTGGAAAACACCACGACCGATTCACTGCAAAAGTCTGGTCACTCAAGTCTCTTCGTCAAAGTCACAATATGGGTAAAAGTCAGAACAGAAACCCCTTACATGGTGATTGTCCCTTTGGCATGCCTTTAAAACCAATCACGGGGCAGTCCCATCCATCTCCCCATCTCTCCATCTCCCAGTCACCGATTTTAGGCGACTTATCGCATCGCCAGAAGAGGCGTCAAATCAATCAGGTCTGCCTGAACTTCACTTGCCCAAGCGACACTGCGGCCTCCAAAACATGAAGTCTCTATTTGACTGAACGATTCGAACGTTCCACCCCTGTCAAACCCCCCAAAACCTCCAAAGTCAGAACTTGCTCCCTAGATAGTACAAGGAAAACCACCTTCGCCTACTAAGTGCTTGCCGCATTTAGCACACTAGCCTGCCTAAGACGGCTTTGCAGAGGCAGGCGACCCACTTCCTGCAACGCCTTGAGACTCGACTTGGCTCGGCCACTCGACTCGCTTGCCTCTTCCGCGAAGCCGCAGGCTGGGCAAAGGTCTCCGGCTCCGTGTTGAAGACCAAAACCTCACCGGAGATTCGGTAGCGGGATCCCCGAAGCTGCCAGGTTCCCACGAAAGACCTCCTTTTAGCGGGGGAAATTCGGAAACCCAACCACGAATCATCCAAAACCAGTAAAAACCTAAGTTGAACCAGATGACTCTGGGTCAATTATGATATTTCACCTGCCTGAAACTTAAGGTGCTCGGGGGGACATTCCCCACATAAACCACAAAAACTTGGGATGAATGAGGTCGTGTGAGGTCGTTATAATTCACCCACATCTATGATCCTTGTCCAACATGTTGTCATGTTGTTTTGTAGGTAGTTACGACCATCCAAAAAGCGCGCCCTTTGCTTTGAACAACACACACCAATTTGCCTCATGGTTTTTGTTGGGAGGGTACGGTTTCAACTGGGATGAAACAAATGACATATGGCCCAACCCTCCACCCAGACTTGCAGATGTGGCCGTTTGCTGTAGATGTCCTCTGAAAGGGAATATGGCAAACGTGGCTCAGCTGCAGTTTGGGTGGAACAAATGGATGTGGTTCAGTTCGTGCTGCATCCACCTGGCAGAAAGGGCAGGATGAAACGGAATGGCGGACCATGCCTCCAATTTACACTCAACACGGGCGGCAAATCCTCGAAAAGTGCGGCTATCCAACTGTGGGTTCCCGCATCTCAGACATAGCTCGTGGAACAAGGTTTTCTGTATGCAAAAGCGACAAACCCAGCCCTTGACGCAAACCAACACTGGGCATCGAAGCCGCGCCTCCGTTGACCACCCGCCCCCCGCCAGCAGCGTGCCGTCCTCGCTCAGCGCCGCCGCCTGGCGAGTTCGAGTCTCGCCCGTCTGACGGGCGTGGCCATGGCCCACGTTTGGTGGAACTTCCAGGGAGCGGGGTTTCGGAGGTGAGGAATACCGCGTAGAAAGTTGCAGACTGCAGTTAGCTGAAAAATTACCAAAAAGAATACCTGGAATATTTTTGAAAAGGCGGAGGTGAGAAATAGAGAGAAAGCTGTGGATGGTTGCGAAATCCAGAAATCGCACCAGTTTGAAATCATGGTTGAACCCATTGCTTGTTGGTATTTACAGGGGAATCATCTTTCAAGGGATTCTGAGGTGGTGCGGGATTTCGTCCATCCACAGTACCTCGTATAAAGTTGCATACTGCGTTGGGCCATGGTCAAAGCGTCCCCCAGGCTAGTCTGAATTGAAATTAGGGGGTGAGCCCACGATCTCCTAAACCATTCCCCAAACGACAAGGAGTGAGGACCCTTTGGTGGACATCGTTGGTACTTCTGTCACTTATGTCCACCAACCATTGTTACCAGGAACTGCCCCATTGAAACTCACACCCAAATGGTTGCATTGTATGTGTAGGTGCGCTTTTGCGTGTGCGCACGTGTGCACGTGTGTGCATGCGTGCGTGCGTGTATTTGTTTGATGCTTTGTTTGTTATTTCGTTCGCTTCGTTCGGTCGTTCTTTCTTTCGTTTGTTCGTCGTTCCATCTGTCCGTCTCTGCATCTGTCTCTGTCTCTGTCTCTGTCTCTGTCTCTGTGACTGTCTCTGTCTCTGTCTCTGTCTCTGTCGCTGTCGCTGTCTCTCTCTCGCTCTCTCTCTCTCTTTCTCTCTCTCTCTCTCTCTCTGTCTCTGTCTCTGTCTCTGTCTCCGTCTCCGTCTCCGTCTCCGTCTCCGTCTCCGTCTCCGTGTCTGTCTCCGTCTCTGTCGCTGTCGCTGTCGCTGTCTCTGTCTCTGTCTCTGTCTCTGTCTCTGTCTCTGTCTCTGTCTCTGTCTCTGTCTCTGTCCTGTCCTGTCTTGTTTGTCTTGGCTTGCTTTGTCTTGCGTTGTTGTTTGTTTTGTTGTTTGTTTTGTTGTTTGCTTTTTGGTGCTTGCTTGCTTGCTTGCTTGCTTGCTTGCTTGCTTGCTTGCTTGCTTGCTTGCTTGCTTGCTTGCTTGCTTGCTTGCTTGCTTGCTTGCTTGCTTGCTTGCTTGCTTGCTTGCTTGCTTGCTTGCTTGCTTGCTTGCTTGCTTGCTTGCTTGCTTGCTTGCTTGGTTTGCTTGGTTTGCTTGGTTTGCTTGGTTTGCCTGGTTTGCCTGGTTTGCTTGGTTTGCCTGGTTTGCTTGGTTTGCTTGGTTTGGTTACTTCGCTTCTTTGGTTTGTTTGTTTGTTGTTCGCTTGTTTGTTTGTGTCCGCGTGTTCGAGGTCCGAATCTTTGCACCTGGGTGTCAAGGGAGGCCGCACGAAAACTCTACCAGTTGGGGGTGCCCCAAATAGGTTTTTGTTCAGGGTTGTCTACGCTTCCTAAGGCCTGTTCACAACCAGTTCTCTATCACGATTCAAAGCAAGAGTGCTTACTATTGCAAGATACCCGAGTTCGCTATGCACCTTGGTATGGCACTCGCATGTGGCGGGGACGTGCTAGGTGTAGTGCATCTCAAACTAGGGCGTCTTGGGTCCGTGTTTGAAGGTGACAAACATGAAACCAGCTTTTGTTTCACAATCCACCGCTTCCACCTCAAATTTGTGCCTGCCCAATTTACAGAACCCCACCCCCCCCCCCTCCCAAAGTTTGAGAAGCTGTTGTATTCCGACTGGGTGTGCCCTTGGAGAACCCAGTTTGAGTTGGTGTAGGCGGAAAATTCCTCCAATGGTCCACCTCCTGAGTGAAAACCCGCCACTTTGGACAAGCGTCGAACGCGCGTCTGGTGCCCCGCCTGCATGGCCGAGCCTCCCGTGCCCAGGGTTGCCACCGGCCCGCTGGCGGCGCCTGAGGGGAGCGCTCCGTAGGAGGGGGGCGGGGGTGGATCCATCCGGGACTTGGTTGGTATTTAAGGGGGGGGGGGGGAATTGAATCAGAAACCCGGCTTTCTTAGGAGGGGGGGGGGGAATCGAATTAGAAACCCGGGTTTCTTCGGTCTTAGGTGGTTTCTCGTCCATACACGGTACTTCCGATCTTTACCCCAAACCATGACACACTCTTCCCAGGCGAAAGTCCTTTCCTTTTTGGGTTGTGTCCCTTTCGAGCTTTGTATTGGTGCATATATTGAAGGCTGAGCAAAAGCTCCGATGACTACGCGATGACCATTGGTTGGAAAACCAACCTTGATCAATTCTTTGCCGAACGCCAGGGTGTCATTTTTTCTTTTTGGGGTCGGTTAATAAGGAGATCAAAGTGAAGCCAACCATTTTTCGGGGGTACCCGTTTCACAAAAAGACACACCATGCACCAGTACAAAGCTCGTAAGGTAAAGAAATGCCCCTTCAGGTTTAAGCTTTATGCCTCTTGAGACGTCTGCCCTTGACTCAGAGACTGTCCTGGGGTTGTGGGGAATGACCACTTCTGTGATACAACAGAAAGGGCTTCCCAAAGGAGGATTCCCTTGTATCACAGAAGTGGGGAGAAACCCCTCGATCCCACAACCCTGGTCGGGAATTCGACTCGACCAGTAGCAATTGGATCGATCTCAAGCTATGAGGGCGTCGCGTGGCTCCGTGCTCCAGACATGTCCAGGGAAGATGCGTCCAAAATCCTTCTCCGAAAGGTAAATTGACTTCTGCCTCAGGGGCGTGTCTCCTTTGGGGGTCCCGACCTGGTATCTGATGGCCAAAAATGGTCTCTCGATGCGTGGTGCGCAAATAAAAACTGATTCCTTTGATATGCCAAGACTGGTGGTTCACTTGCGGATGCAAAGCGCAACTCCTGCCAAAGCCACTGACATCCAGGACCAATCAGAGATCAGGTGATAGAAGCTGTTCCATCAAGTTGCTCATCATAAACCAAAACGCCCTGCTGTGAACTGAGCGAAGAGCGCAATGGTCTGTGAATACCTCTTGAGGGGCCTGCGTCCTTCTTTTCGGAATCAAGATTGGGCACAAAGTGGGAAGTGCTCGGCAAGTGACTCACACATGCCGGTGGAAACATGAACCTTGCTGAAAATCAGACCAAAACGACTTGAGCCATCTTCACAACCACATGCCTTTGGGTTCCCTTTGAAACCCAGAAGCCACAAAGGCGTCATAAGGCCGTGGCTCAAAAAAAAAAAGGTACCCAAAAAGCGCCCCTAAGCACATGGAAACAAACCTGCGGTTTGCCCGTTCTCTCTTAAATGTTGAGCCCACACCCAACCAAAAAAAAGGACCTCCACCTGCCCCTCGTGTGCCAAAATCTTCGCGCTTCCGGGCGCCTTCCAGTGACATGGCGCGAAGCGTCCCGTCAAGGCCTTCGGCGAGAGCCGGCAGGTTGCACGTCAATGCGCAAAACAAACAAAAAATGTGTACTCAACTGAGCCTACGGCCAAGACAAGACTTCCAGGCAAACAGCTCCGGAAAAAGAAAACGTTCTATCCATGCTGAAAGTCATGCTAGCTCATCTAGAACGGGAGCATGTCCTACCAACCGCTTCCTCAACTGGCCCAAAGGGTTCAACGCTGTGGCAAGGTCTCGCAACTTGGTGAGCTGGGGCTCCCGGAAGAAAATGTCGGCCAAAAGGCCCCAAGAGGTGACGTTTACAGGCACCAAAAGGGGAAACATCGGGCCCCCACGTGGACGAACAAACCGACACTTCGCTTGCTCACATCACGGAACCCAGTTTTGACCCCCCCCCCCGGCTGCCTGGCTGCCTGACATGTTCTCCTAAAAGCCAAAGACCCCCCCCTTTTGCACTGAATGGGAGGCTGAAATAAGAAAGCTTGATTTTTCAACATCCCTGGTTGCGGTGGAGGGTTGTTCCACCCCTTCTCAATTGCATTCTGCAAATGGCCAAGAGCAAGAAAGCGGCCAAGAACAAATGGGTATCGCTCAAAATTAACCAGGAGGGGCAAACCGCAGGCTTTGGTTCATGTTTCCACTTACCAGCGTTCCATTTTGGTACCGGTTTTTTTCTGCCACTGCCACATGGGCCCAAACGTTTGAGAAATGCGATATGTGATCTGTGGGCTCGCCATCTATGGGCTCCCCGCACGCCGCCAGGAAGTGGCTCCCCCTGGCGCTGGGGAAGGGGGGGGGAGGAGGAGGGGCAGGAGGCGGAGGAGGGGCAGGGGGGGAGGACTTTGTTTTGTTGAGGTGAATTAAAAGGGCACACAAAGGAAAGCACCAGGTACATGTCCTCCTAAGGGTTGATTCCCCATTCTCTTCCATGGAACCCTGTGTAGAAACCACCCATTTCCCGGTTGGCCCATTTCTGAAAAGATGGATGCCTGAAGAGAACGGGGGGTGGGCCCCACTGTGGATGGACAAAATCCTGACAAACCCATGAGGATTCCCCCTGCAAATACTGACAAACAATGGTTTCTCATGGTTTTTGAGGTGCAGGATTTCGTCCCTCAGTATGGGTGTGCCTTTTTGGAGGCCCTTCTTGCGATGAGAGGGCCCAACTCTTCCGACTCATCTCTTGCCATTTCGGTCGTCGGAAGGGATTGATTGTCCGGCTGCTCTACTCAAATGGAGTCAACTGGCTGAAAAAATATGGAATCCGGAATCCGAAAAGGGATCCAGAAAAAAGAAAAAAAAGTTTTGGCTTCAAGTCGGCTTTGGTCTCACCATGTCTTCATTTCAATCCTTTCCAGGGATCCTTACATTATACACCTGAACATTACCTTGTAAATCGTGGCGTCCCTTTATTTTGATGGAAAATGCCATGTTTCAAATTGGCAAAATGTATCTTTTAAGGAGCCCTCCTTTCCCTTGCGTATTTCTCTCTGTTTTCCTGGGTGCCTGGGAGTCTGCTTGGTTTCAGGGATAAGTTTCTGCAAACCACCACACCTGAGAAAGGGAGGCTGTTTCAACCATCTTGGTTCCAACATAGGTTAGCAGGTGTCTCTTTTTTGAGGGTACCCCTTCTTGTGTGATTTGAAAGGAAAACCGACCGAAAACCTTGCTATTTTGTGGTCCAATTCCTACAAAAGGCGAGCCATTGACAAGATGCACAAGTTGGGATGGATGAAACCCCCAGCGGTCGACAAACCACCGAGCTCATGCGAATCAGATCTTCTCCATCAGAGATCCCCCCAAAACAAAAATAAGCCTTAGGTGTCTCTTTCCATGGAGGACGCCCCGAAAAGAAAAAAAAAGTTAGGAGTTTGAGACGTCTCTTGCCATCGAGCCCCAAAAAATCACCCAAAACCAGCGAAAGGTTGCCGTTTGCCTCACCGAAACCCCATGGCGCGCACCCGGCGGTGGGCAGGGCCGCGGCGGCCGCCAGCCCGGAGTCCGCCAGCCTGCGGTCGGCGGCTCCACCGGAGGTCTTAGAAAACGGGGAGCCGAAGCTCTGGAAATTCCGGCCCTGACTTATCCGTTCACCGAAAAAGATGACCAAAAGAAGGATCAACAGGAAAAACGTTCCACCGAGAAAGTGGAGAAGAGATGATCTACAAAAGAAGGATTAAATAGGGGCAAGAACTGAAATCCGGAGATGGGTAGCTTGGCTCCCTTCCAAATTCTACGGGGTCTCAAAAGTTATGGGTGTGCCCTTTCTTTTGGGAGTTGGTACGAAAGGGAAAGCACCACATTTTAGGTGTGTTTCATTTGGACCATTTGCACTTGTTGCCGGAGCAGGGAGCCGTCCCCACAAAAACAAATATGATTGTTCATCGGTTGGATTGGGTGGACATCACAAAAACCCTGCGTACCTGTGTTCACCCAGGCTACTGTGACTGGGTGAAGGTAAGGGTAAACACGGAAAAAAAGGGCTGTCCGTTCTTGGATCCCCCGCTAAAAAGCTCAACTTTTAGCGGGTTAAATAAATAGGAAATCCAACCGCTAAACACTAAAAAGCTAAAAGGCTAAGGGGATGGACGGGAGCAACCAAGATATATGGTAGAGAACCGATCGGTAGAGAACTGTCTTTTTGGGTTGTGGCCAGGTTCTGCCCTGCTCCCACCGTTCAGGTTGCAAGCCACCGGCTGTGAGAGGTTTTAGGAGCCATGGAAAGAAATAGCAATGGAAAAGACAGTTGGGCATGTGTCAGTCAGCTTCCATCTAAATTGGTGGGTTGAACCTGGTGGTGAGATTTGGGGGTGGTTTGCCCTCTAGAACCAGTGAGTTGAAATCCCAAGCGACCTCAATGTGGGTTAGGACCAAATAGTGTGACATACTCACATGGAACCTGTCATGCCTATGCAGCAACTGTCGGTGGCTGAAAAGCGGCTGTCCGAAGCTTGGCCTGAAGACGGCTGGAACAGTGCAGAACAAGTGGGCAAGGAACATCAGCCTTCCAACCAAAGCATAATCAATACACCCCGCAAACCTACTATCAAAGGAAGCTTCAACGCACGTCCGTGGCACTAATTGAGCCTGTGAAAAAGCAACAAACGAGCCAAACACGCGAGAAAGCCTGAGAATAAAGGCGAGAGCCAAAAACGTTGACGTGTGCTTCATCGGCTCTTTGGCCGGTGTGCAACCATGGTGAAGCCTCGGACTTTCGGCACGCTCTTGGAACCCTCTGACTTCGTTCTCCCTCAACAAAAACTGGCTTTGTTTGCGTACCTCTTTTCATTTCGCTAGCACGAACCCTTTTTCGCGGTTCTTGTCGTGCTTCAGCGTGTCATCAGATGGTGCATCTCCTGCAGAATGCTGGGTGGTCAACCATCAGAGCCTGTTGTGTGGTTGCGTTTCACCGGCAAACTAACTAGTTGACTGGCTAACTAACTCACTAGTTACCTAACCGTCGAAGAAGTAGCTAACTCGAGGCTTTGAAGACTGCTACCACGATTTGCAACGAAAATATTCTGTGTCCGCATGCCCCCCGAAATTGTCCACGCGCAATGTGGATTCTTCCCTGGGAATGATAGTGACAATTCCGAGATGGGCGTATGCAAATGAAGGGATTTCTAAAACTCCCGCCGGTCAATTGCAAGCAACCCTGAAAAACGCTGATATGGCCATGGGTCAAAACCCCGTACCCCCAGTGAACATCCCAATCCCCACTAATCCCCACTAAAATAGTCTAAAAATGGGCGGTGCACCTAACCCAAAATGGGATCCCATTGGTTTTGACCCACAGCCATATAACTCCCAAAACTGTAAAAAGCGTACCCGGTGAACCCTGTGCCCAAAACTCTTCCTCGCCCCCTCGAGCCTCGAGGAAAGCCGCATCTCGGAACCCTCGTAGACACCTGAGACAAAGTGAAGCGACCTGCGTGCACGACATGGCTGGCCTTCCAAAGACAAGGACGAAGCCCCAACCGCGCCCTTCAGAAGGGCGGGTCGGTTTCACAGAATGGGTGTTGCAAGTTCTAGCCGTGGACAATAAGTTACTTCTTGATTGAAATGTCAGGATGGAACTGGGCAGTCCCTCCCCCCGTCCTTCCCAAAACAGCGGACTGGTGATGTCAGTTGCTTCTAGCAACTGACCAACCAACTGTGCTGGCCGAAGGCTCTGGAGCAAAATCCAACTGAAAAGCGATGGCACCGCCGAAAAAAACAATCTGCATGGACTGAGCTGCCTGACCGGAATCCAGGAGACCGAAACCACTCAAAGGCCCCAGGGAGCTTCTTTTGTCAAGACACAAAAAAGACATGAATACACCCAAAAAAAGATGCAGCCGATTTGACGACACACTCATCCGAGTAGTGCTCTGAAGGACCGCATTTGACAGCTTTGAGGTCGTGCGAGCGCTCCTGAAAAACAAGCTGCTGCCAGGGAATCCCCACCTTCTTTCATGATCATTTACCAACCTTGTTGAACCTTGCTTGACTATGAGAGGCCTTGAATTGTGAAGTTGCTTCCCTCGGGCCCAGGACGACTCGGTGCTACGCTGCCTTTGTCTTTTCTCTGTCCAGATTCACCTGCTGAGTCGAACAAATGAACCTTAAGCCGGTGATCTGAGTGCATGGGAGCCTGCGAATTCCATGTCCGGTACCACCCCCGCAACTTACTTTTCAGACAAACACACGGGATCCCCCCCCAAGAAAAAAAAAAGAAAGAGTTCCCTAGAGAATCCCGTCCGGCAGGACCCTCAACTTAGGTCAACACACCTGGACAGAAGCGAAAGAAGGGTCTCTCCAGAAAATTCGCTCGAAGGAGTCCCCTTTCTGAGTCCCGGGATCCCGGGACCCCGAACGCACCGTGCCGTCGTAGAGCGTGGCGGCGAACCAAGTGCTGGGGCAAGCCTCTCCCGGAAGGCAAGGGACAAAGGAGACGGATTGCAAAAAGCCGACAGAAGGTTCCAAGGTCACAATCGAAACCCGGTATAGACCTGGTCTACCCACAATGCAAAGAATTGAAAAGGCGGAGTCCGCAGCTACTTATGGCAAGGAGGATATTCCCCTAACCTTCGTCTTTCAGGACCCAGAGTTCCAGAACCCTCGCGTAAGACTTCCAGTTCGAACCTCACGCTGTCCGGCCCATGTCACCACAAAGTCACCAATCCTTTTGGTGCAAACACCTCCAAAAAAGCGATGACTTGTCACAGCTCAACGGAAAGGGAGCGCAGCGGTTGTTGCAAGTCTCGAATCGCCTGAAAAAAAAGCTGTAAAGGAATCACTGGTGAAAGGATCAAGCAAATGACCATGCTCTGAAGCTTTCCACTTGAGGATACGGTGAGCCCATGGGAAGATCGTTTTTGTCTTTCGGTGAGCTCGTTGAGCGTGCCGCCTCCCTGGTGTGGAAGAATCCGAAAATGGCTATCCTCTGGCTTTCGTGAAGGGCTAAACTACAAAAACAATCATGGAACATTCCATGATGGAAGATTCCAGTGCTTCACTTTTGTTTCACTTGGTCCATTGCTTCAATCGGCTATTTTGTATGTGAATCAGACAAATGCCCAACTCTCCCGAGTCCCCCCCCCCAGAAGCTTCCTCTTGTGCCGTTGCCGCTGCTTGAAACCTGCTCACTTGACCACTTTCATTCCATGCTCCTATGCTGCTTTCCCCTGGAGGATGGCCTGGGCCATTCTTCTTTCTTTCTGTTTTAATGTTTTTTTGTTTTTTGTTTTTTACAAATTTCCCCCTCCTCCTCGTTCTTTCGCAGTATCCGAGAGGCGTGCTTCCTGGCATCGACAGGACGGGAACAAATACACTCCCGAAAACGGGGGCCCGAAAAAGCCGCCGGTCGGGCGGACGGACGCTCCTTTGAGCCTTTGAACAAGGGAAGCCCGGCGAAAATCCCACCCCCGGCTTTCCCAGTCCCCGCCTCCAGAGCTACCACACTGGAGACCCACTCGGGCGCCTGAACGAGGCTTGCCTTACGAGCCAACTTTTGGGGATCCTTCCTCTTCAAGCTGGATGATGTTGACTTCTGTGTGACAGATCCTGCAATGTTCAGTTGCCGCAGTTGGGGCAAACAATTGAAACCCGGGGGACATGCTGAGGAGCGGATCAAACACTCATGGTTTTTGTTTCCTTTCCCCCTACCCCCCTGGGATTCGACTCCCCGACTCCCCGTCTTTCTGACTCCCCGTCTCCCCGACTCCCCGACTCAAAGACTCCCCGACTCCGCCTCATCCACGGTGGACTGCTCCGGCTCTCTAAGCGCCAGCCTCCGGCCGCCCAAGGGAAAGCTGCTGGGCTTTTCGAGGCTGCTCCCCGGAGATGAACAAAGGAAGCCAAAAAGAAGGGACTTCCAAATACCCAAAGGAGGCGCCGAGCCTAAAAATGGTGAGCTATGTCTTTTCTTTGGGGGGGGGTCCATGTTGGTTTGCAGGAGCCTATCTTTGATGCTCCAATTGATTCCCGCTTGGAAACTGCTAAAAAGAGTACAACAACTCGAATGAAAGCAAGTGAGAATCTTTCTGGTGTGGGGCTTTTCCAGGAGGTCTGAGGGAAAAACCGCCCCTTTTAACAGGTTCCAACCCGTTTGGAGACAACCCCGTGAGTCATCCTTGACTGTCCGTTCATGCGGACCTCAAGAAGAACAACCGCACTAACAACCGCATGGCTAAGCACGGCAGTCCGGGCACCAAAAACCCGCCCAAAGCCTACTAAAACAAGCGTAAACCACGCATATGCGCTTGGAAAAAAAAAGGTTGGATCCCCAGTGGCGAACTCTTTTGGCTCCGTCAAGTGACACTGAGTTTGCTTCAAGGGGCATGGAAACAGACCCACAACTTGGGTGACTAAGAATTTCGATGACCAAACGATCAATGCACGGCCCTATGATTCCAGAAATCTACTGTCCTGCTAGTAATTATCAGCATGCCTTGCAAGCTTCATGCCCCAGCAAAAACTTCTTCCCCCGATTTTCGGAAAAACAGCCAGCCACGCACATCCCCCCCCCCTTTGTGGCCGGAACAAAAACCTGCAACCGTGGCTTGGCCCTTTTGGTCCCCGGCACGAACTCCAGCTGTAGCACCTTCTCGGATGACAGCTTATGCACCTGTTGAGTCGAAATGGATGGCGCTCCTCCTTTTTTGGGAACCCCTCTGGTCGGTTTTAGAGGGAAACCAAAAGGAAACCCCTGCCACTCTTAAGAAAACCACTCGAAAATGAGACAAAACCAATTGAAGAAACAACCAAGTCCATTCAAGTGACGCCCTCTAAATGACCCTCTAAATAAGTGGTTTCCCAAGGTGGACTCAAACAATATACCCCTCCCGCCCTAAACAAAAAGAACACGCTAGGGTGTCGGACAAAGACATTCCTGAATCTGAATACTCATGCAACTTGAAACTACAGTCAACGGCACCAACTTCGACTGAGTTTCGTCCTGTGTCAACCAACTTCGACACCCGCTTTGACTGGGTTGAACCCAGCGTCTGACAATAAAAACCAAAATTTAATTTCGAAGAATAGAACGCAAATGGAGACAGGTGTTGGCTGCTCTGAGCCCTGGAAAAAGTGTGCTTCGTACGTCAAAAGCCCGGCAACCAATTTGTGAACCCATAATGAAGAACCTGATCTGACGAACAAAAAAGGGAGGGGAGAAAAAAAGAAGAAGAAAAAGAAACGGCATCCACCTGCCCCGAAACCGGCATGAAGAGTTCCTTCTTCCGCCTCCAAGTACAAGTCGATGCTGGTGCGGAGGAACTCGCCGTCCACCAAAAAGTCGAAGGGGACGGGCCTTGCCCGAGCATGGCGTGGGCACGTTCGCCCAGGTGCATTTCAATGGGTAGATCCTTCGGCTTCAGAGACATGGCTGTGGTCACAACCGTTGTGGGATCCCATGTTGGGGGTTTTCGGTGCACCACTCAGTCTTGTCTATGTCCATTTTGGGGGTGTTCGGTGCACCACCCAGTTTAGTCGGGATTTTAGTGGTTGGATTGGAAGGTTCACTGGGGGTACGATTTGGCTTTTGACCCCTGGCCACATCAACGCGACCTCTTCAGAAACATCCAAAAAAGGAAGGCTGAAAGTAGTCCAAACACCCTATTTCTGCCGTGCCTCCCATAGACACCTCCAGGTGCGAATTCCATTCCGTAGGTTGATACGGCCTTCCCGCCGTATCGGGGGTTTTAGTGACTGGTCATGGTACGTTTCCTGTTGCGAAATCCTACCATTGAGACCTTGAGATTGAAACCAATGTGTTTGGGATTTTACAGAAGAATCATGGGGAAACCAACCATTTTTTGGGGGTACCCCAACAAAAAGACACACCCATATGCACCAGTACAAAGCTCTTAAGGTATAGAAATGAGCCTTTTGAGACAACGTGGGTATGGGTCAAAATCAAACCACCAGGATATGGACCCCAGGATTAGGTCCATGTTTCCACTGACCAGGGTTCCAGTGGGGGTTCTCTTTTTTGACCCGCAGCCATGTCAGAAACCAGGGTTTCTGAACGGTGCGAACGGATTTCGCAACCATCCACAGTATGTTGGCTTCCGGCTTTACCTTGGAGCCAGGCGCAAAAGTGGGAAACATCGCCCGGTTTGTGTTTCAACCTCCTTTTCGTTGCCCTAAAAGAACCAGGGCCTGGTTCAGATTTTGGCCAACCGGTTAATCCATGCAGGTTCCGCTTTCAAAACAAACGCTCAAAGTCGGTGATCAACTAGAAGAAAACCTGGGGTTCGGATAGAAGAACAAATTTGGTTGCGACCAGACAGCAGCCCTACCCGCAACGAGCTTCTAGCATTTCCTGCGGAAAATTTTAAGCGGACTCTGCCACTGTCGACCGACCAAATTCTCAATCAAACCGAGTGATGTGAACCCCAGCAACCTGCCAACCTGGCGGATGAATAGTGGACTCTCCTTTGAAAGGGAACATTCCCTGTTCATCAGGGTTGTGGGATCAAGGGGTTTATCGCCACTTCTGTGATACAAGGAAATCCCCTCTTTATTTGGGGGGTCGGTCTTTGGGAGGCCCTTTTTGTTGTATCACAGAAGTGGTCATTTCCCACAGCCCTGCTGTTCATCAACTGGAAGCCGATGCTAAGGGAACACTCCCTGTTCATCAACTGGCGGCCGATGCGAATCTTTCCTTAGCTTGTAAATGCAAGCCTCTCAAGAAGCGCACAAGTCCCAACGTGTGCAAGACGAAAAGGGCGGGTGCCTCCACAGCGTGCCGGCTCATGCATCCCAAGGCGCTTTCGTCATGGAGCTGTGCATCGAAACGGTTTAGACCCCCAGGAATGGGTCCCTTGTATCAAAATGCTGGGACCCCCATGGACTTCGGTCCTTTTGGTTTCCCCTTGTCAAGCCCAACAAGGCCCTCGGAAATGCAAACATTCCAAAAAAAAAAAAACGTCGGGGAATCCCGGCTCAGAAACCCCAGACAAGCATCCAAAGCCTCCCACGCGAGCACCATTCCTTGCCCGGTGAATGCCTTTGAAAACGAGCCCGGAACTCCGCAAACAGCATCCCACAAAAGAGAAGCTCGCTTTGCAGGTTGCTTGGGGAGCAGGTACCCACGTGGGTATGAGACACTTTGGTGGACATGGCAATTCATGTCCATGTTGCCTCCCGCGTGACTGAGCAGCCCAGTGAAACCAAAACATCATGGGGTTTAATGGAATTGTTTGAACAAACAGCCACTGAACAGCCACTACAAAGCCACTCAACAGCCACTGAAACGGCCACTAAACAGCCAGGGTATGTACCCCCCATTTTTCCCTGGGGTCCCAGTAGTGGTTTTGCCAGGTAGTGGTTGTCACCATCTTAGCAACATTCCTGGGAATGGCCGGCCAGCACCTTGATCGGCTTCAAACTAAACATGATGCTGTATTGGATGTGTCTCGAAAGAGGGAACTCGATTGGTGGGCTGAGGGTCCATTTTGAGGACCCCCCCCCCTCCCCCGCCCCTCTTCTGGCCCCGTTGTTTTACCATCATCAAAGTCACCCCTAAATGGTGGGTTAAAGGGAAACAGCCCCATTTTCTGACTTTGATAACCCCCAGAAACAGTCAAAATAATGACCCCTTGTTGGGTTGCAAACTTGGGCTCCAGCTGCTCCTTGCCCAGCAGGCGATTCACCACCTGCAAAGCAGCTTCCGGAAACTCTTTCGGGGCAAAAAGGACCCATCGCGTTGTGACAGGTCTGCAAAACAACCGGCCAAAGAAGAATGACAGCCATCAGAACTTGCTGCAGATGTCGATTCATCTGCGTTGATGTATATGCCAGATACTTCTTCTTATTCCGGAATTTGGGAAGTGAGCCCAGCAATGTCACTTGCGACCATGGGTACAGCCTGCATAGTAAAATGGATGGCCATAGATGGTCATACCAGCAAGTTGCTAGAGGTCCCCGCAATGGCGGATGATGATGTACTTCAATGGTAAGTCAGTTCTGATCGGAAACCTGGACTGACAATCGAGTATTGCGCCTGTCGGGGGCTTGCCCCAAACGGAATATGCTGGGTTCAGCAGAAATGCTTTGCTTCAAACATGGCACGCACTTGCTCAGCACGCATGTTTTCTTTGTGTTCGCATCAAGCTGTCACACCAGGTGAGGTCAGTGAGATCTGAGAGACTGTGAAATATGTATTCGAGAGATTGTGCACAGCCCCGCATACCAATCACACTCTCCAGAATAAATGTGCATTCGAAAACCTTCGGTGGACATGACTTGCATGAGGATTTCTGTCCACCGACCCATGGTTCAGTGGGCAACAAGGGCCGCATGGCCGCATCTCCGGTAAAGATCCCCTCTTGGTGTCCCAAAAAAAACTTGTTCAGTGGACAAAAAGGGCCGCATCTCCGGTAAGATTCCCCTGTTGGTGTCCCAAAAAGACCGTGTTCAGTGGCAAAATTCGGCGCATCTCCGGTAAGATTCCCCTTGTGGTGTCCCAAAAACAAACCAACGGCGCACAGGGAGTTCTTCCCATCCCGCCTCGGAGAGGCCGTACCTCCCAAGGTTGGAGGGCACGACCAGCTCTTCCTCCGGCACCTCAAGCGAGAAAAACAAAAAAAAAACGGAAGCTGCGTTGGTCGGGAGGAATGGGGTGATCTGCATGTTGGTCGGGAGGAATGAGGTGATCTGCATGTTGGTCGGATGGAATGAGGTGATTTGCATGTTGGTTGGGAGGAAAGAGGTGATTTGCATGTTGGTCGGGAGGAATGAGGTGATTTGCGTGTTGGTCGGAAAATAGGTGGAACTGACTTGCACGGCTTGGCTTGGCTCGGGTGGGCCCTGGTGTTGAACTGGCTTGTGTGCTGGTGGGGCAGCAGTCTCACGTTCCTCAGTCGCACCTTATGTGCGTTTGCCAGTATATGGGTGAGGGAAATGATCATTTCCAAGAAGGCCGAGAGATGAGCAAGACTGAGCTTTGGCTGCCAGTAGAGCGGAAGGAACACTGATCAGACCTCCAACATGTGTGTGTCTGTGTATTTGTGGGTGCTTTTGTGGTGTTTCTCAAGGTTTGGGTGAGCCACTGTGGGTTTAACCAACCAACTGAATGCAACACGACATGATTGTCCTGGGTCGCTTGAACCCCTGTCCTGGTCCCCCGAATGGCCGGAGACTTGCTTCCAGGTCTGGGGTGTCTCCACCAAAAAAGCTGTATAATTGTGTTTGCGAAACCAAACAAAGTCAGAGAGGCCTGGGAGCTTTTTGTGGAATCTCCAGTGGATGACTTGAAAGCTGCGCCTGTTTATTTCAAGAATGGAGCGTCTTTGGCACAAGATGTTTCGACACGCTCATGCTTTCAGAAACGGAAGGCGTTCGACCGCAAGACCATCCAAGAGACTGAGAGAATTCCAGGACAAGGGGTTCTTTTGTCCATTTTTTCGTGGAAAAATGATCGACTCGTAGCGAAGGATTCCTTTTTGAGGGTGGTCGCCCATGTTCTCTCAGAAGGTGGCCAAAAGACCCCAGAATGTCAATGGCAAACTGGAGCCCATCCCGCACAACTATGTCACAGCCTGACTGTTGGAAGGACAAGATATGCAACCCGGAGTCCATCTCAGGACTGTGCTCTGTTAGCTCAATGGCAGCAAAAGCAGCTTTATCACTGGCAGAAATTGGTCCGTAACAGCCTAGAAAAAGGCGGCCAGCCCCAATTTCAAACCCCAGACGCTGGCGGGGATCTCTTCTTGGAAAAAAAAACTGAACAACAAAAAAAGGACCCTTCAAAAACCGCTTGGCCTCAAAACTCGGGGGGGGTTCCACCCCCTAGTGGAAGCTTCGCGCCCAGCCCCCACCCCAACAGGCGCCACGTCCTCGGCGCAGCCTGGAAGGCGGGCAGCTTGGTCGCGAAGCTCACCAGCGCCTCCCCGGTGGCCACGGCCTTGCCTGGCGGAGTTGTCGGTTTCGGTTTCGGGCGTGGGCGAAGGCCAGGAGGGGGAGGGGCCAGGAGGGGGGGGGAGGGGGGAGGAAGGCCTGGTCGGGGGCAGGGGCGGAGGGGAGGGGAGGAGGGGGAGGGGGGGAGGGGGGAGGGGGGGGAGGGGGAGGGGGGGGAGGGGGGAGGGGGGCTTCTGAAAGTTCCAAGTTGCCGAAAAAACAGGTCAATGCCGCTGCTGGAACAAGGGAACCTTTGGCACGGGTGGGAATGTGGGGGGGTGAAAAGAGTCTGGGGAGCTTCCAAATATCGGTGGTTCCCCAGACTGGAAGCTACCAAATGACCCTGTCAACAAAGTCCGAAGATGTTCCAAGCAACATGTCTGTGTGCCATGATGCACAAACCAAAAACACAAAGAAGAGAAAACTGGACGTGTCAACATCAAATAAAAGAGTTGGCAACACATACTGATGAATAACAGTCATGAAGGCAATACCTCAAATTATCTCTCTCTCTCTCTTCTTCTCCCTCCAGCGAAAGGTTACTTGTATCACGGTCATAGAGCCCCTGTTATCTAAGATTTTTTTTACAGCAAATGTTCATTGTCAACTCTGTCAGGAATTGATGTGAGGCATGGATGAAGTCTAACAAGAGAACAACAAGACCATTAGCATTCACCACACAAGGTCTGCTAAATGCATCTAAATGAGCAGAATTGAGCAACCAACAAGAGTCAAGCAAGTACCGCCTGCATGCACTCGCATGGGTAAAGAAATCCAGATATGTTCAATTGGATCGCACAAGAAGTGTAACAAGAAGCCCAGCACGGCCTGAAGAAGTCATGGCGATGGTCTAGTCCGATGCGTGACTTCTGCGAATGTTGGCAAAATGCGCTAAGCTTTCGTTGTTGGTTCTTCTATAGGGTAGTGTGAAGTTCTGCAAACACCCGGATGAAGCTGAACCATCCAACAAGATCAAGATCATCTTACTGTTGTTGTTCCGTCTCATTGCACAGCTGACGTGTCACATCCATGCAAACACTTGTATTGGATACGTTGCAGCTTCTTGCCCTTGAGCACAAACCTCCCGCGTGCCAAAAAAGATACTCGGCAGCAGACACAAAACATCCATGACCATCGTTATGTTGTTACACGTCCTGAGAATGTGCACAGCCAAACAACGGCAACATTATTTGGCATGTTCAATCTCTGAACGAACATGTGCGGCCAGATTGGCATTTGTTGGCCAACATCATGGACTTAACCACGCGCCTCCAATCAGGCCTGTTTGCTAACTGCAAAGTGCCAGACATGGCTGTGGCTCAAAATTAAACAGGAGGGGTTACGCGGGGTTTGGTCCATGTTTCCACTTACCAGGGCAACCCATTTTGGAATTCCGGTTTTTTGAGCCACAGCCACATACACACTTTTTTTTGCGAGCGCAAAGTGAATCCAGACATAGCGCACTGAGTACTTCGTCAGGGAAGTCAGGAAAAAATAAGTCGTGCGCTTGCGCGAAGAGGCGCTTGCACAAAGTTTTTAGTGTCCTGGACAGATAGAGTGTGCTGGCTCTGAGCCTTCAGGGGTAGTTTTTTGTCCTGGCAAAGCACAGGCCGTATAAAAAGTTTGTTGTACGTGTTCTTGCACGCTACGTACACGGCGCGCACGGCTGTCCCAGCTGTGATGTGCGCCAGGCAGACTGCGGAGCTGGATGAAGCAGATGGTGCTTCATGCGTGGGCCTCTCGAAAATGCCCACGCGGCGAGACAATAATAGTGGGTCCATCTCAGCTAAATACTTGTGTGGCTCTATATTTTCTCTAGCAGCCTTGCCCTTGACGCTACAACCGCTTGAACCGAGATGGTACACGTGGGAGCACCTACAAACCAGAGGGGACATGGTGAGCATACGGCACCGATCAGTGAGCAGCTTCGATGACAATCCCAAGCTCTAGAAGAGAAGGCCCGGCTCGAGGACCGTTACCGCATATAGGATGAGCGAATGAGCGATCCGACTGCCGCACTCTAGCGTGCTGGACAATGCCACTTGCCCGATTGGGTTTGCCACAGCCCCTGTCACGCAAGAGGACAAGACAGGCATCATTGGCGGGCAGGAGCGACGTGGTCAATCCTCCTAAAGTCAGTTGCGCTAAGCCGTTTTGGGTTGGTGGCTTGGAGATAGGTCGTGTCTCCTTTTTCTTTTCTTTTTTCCCGCAGTGCTGTTACGATACGCAGGTACTCTCCTCCTCACGCCTCTGCTTTTGTCTTGTGCTGACTCGGCAGACTTCATGGTTGCGTGGGCTTGTCTGGCACTGGAGGAGTTCTTGCACCATCAATGCTTTCCTGTCCCGCATATCGGCACGTGGCCCAGGCACGGACACTTAGGAGAACTGGGCAGCTACAGCAATCGGCCCCTTCCTCGTGTGGGCTGTGCAGCATTTGAGCAGGGTTGAAGGTACTTGCAATCCTTCGATCTTCTGTGGAGGTCTATGGGATCTCTTGTGTGAAGCTCATCCGGGGTTCCGGGCATGGCTATGGGATCCTTGTCTTCTGAGATGATATGCCGGTGCTGGAGGAGATGGAGTAGGCAAGGAAGTTTGTTCAAGTTTCTGGCGAGCTGACGCCATAAGCTCGCTTTGGGATGATTTCGAGAGCGTTTTGCGCAAGATCTGCTATTGAGGATCTCTGTAGCATCTCTTTTAAACCGAATTTCGCATTTGCCATGTTCAAACTTTGCTCCCCGCCACAGGAGCGATCCGACCCACACAAAAATTGCAGAGCGTTCACATTCGCCACCACGATTGAGCGCGCACAAAGTCTGCAGAAGGTGCGCTTTGCCTGCGCTGCAAACCCGCCGCGCCACGTCGCACCGCCACGGAGAGAGCGATCCAACCCGCCCAAAGTCCGCAAAAAGTCACTTTCGATGTTCCAAACGCGCACAGCACCACAGGGAGAGCGATTCGTCCAGCAAAAAAATCAACTGTCAATGTTCAACATGCGCACTGCACCAACAGCGATCAAACCCGCCAAAAGTCCGCAAAGGATTCACTTTCAATGTTCAAAACCCGCACCCACAGAGCGATTCAACCCGCAAAAAAAAACAACTGTCAATGTTCAACATGCACACTGCACCACAACGAGAGCGATCCGACCCGCAGAAAGTTCACTGTCAATGTTCAACACGCGCACGACACCACAGCAAGAGCGATCCCGACCCATCAAAAGTCCGCAATGGGTTCACTTTCGTGTTAAAGTGGTCGTCAGAAATCGGCACCGTGCCGCACGGACACTCTTTCTCATCACGCGCTGATTTCTCCAAAATTGACACGTTTTTGGCACAGAATTTGCTTTCTGCCTGGCAGCCACTGTCATTGAAGACAGTCCGCAATGAATATTTCAGACATATATATATATATATATATATATGTGCTGTCACACACTCGTCGTCTCTGGCGAGGCTGCGTTCAACGCCACGGAAAAACGGCATGCACAGGGACACCTGCAATCAACAGATACCTTCCAGTCGTCGAACAACGACTCTTTGCTTTGTTTTGAGTTTCGCTCCTGTTGTTGCGCTTGTAAATTCACAAATGTCCGTAGTTTTTCGCATTGGCTGTTGTGAAGATGGTCAGATACTGTATGTGCGACGTAAACACATGAAAAACAAAAAAGGAAATACCACGGCCCGAGCAGCAATAAAACAGCTTCACAACCCAGCAATGCCCACCAGTCCACACAGCGAATTCGCAAAAAACAAGAAAGGCGCGTTGGGCAATGTTTGAAGAGAACAGCAACTACAATCGCTACTTTGCAAAGATTTGCGTTGTTTTCCATCTTTGAAGACCAGCAGGGAAAAGGAAGCAACAAGACCCTGGATTGAAGCCCATGTTTTTGGTGTCCTGAAACAGACAAACGTGATCATCAACTGGGTGCACGCAGTGTCATCACTTACGTATCCTTTTTGTGACTTCAACCGCTTCCTTGATTTGGCATCCAAACGCTCAGTTTCGACGAATTCCTCGCTGGCGATGCGTGGCAGAAACCCTCGCTCATCCTCTGAACAGTGATTGCACTCACACAGTTCACATCTCTCAGACTTCCCCCACATACTCCAAGCAGACCCAGAGCGAACAGACAGTTGCCAGGGCAGAGTTTCAAGCACTGGTTGCATTGGAAGCACAAATTTGCGTTTTTGTCACGGACTCGCGTTCTTGGACAAATTGCATTGAAAAAGAGCCTTGTGCCTAGCAGGTAGATGGTGGATTCCTGCACTGGTGCACGCTCGCCCAATGTGTTGGACGCCGTGGTAAGTGGTACAGTGGCAACTGCCACTGTGAGGCTGTGAAGGCTGCGCTGGCCAGCTGAATGCGAAAGAACGGTGGATGTCCGAACGCTTCGCGACTCAGGCGGAAAGCTGCGCTGGAACCACGAGGCGAGCCATGGCAGCACTGTGGCTGATGCACAGAGCAGATGGACTTCGGCTTTGAGGTTTCTCGTTTGGACCGCGCACCTGCGCGGCATCCTCCCAACTCACAGAATTCATAGAGAAGCTTGCTCGGGATTGCTCGGGCTGCTTGACTTAAAGCTGCGACTGCTGTTTGGCAGCCTGAATTGAATGAAAGCTGCCTAGAAAAAAGGAGTTTCCAGATCTGGTCGCTTTCCGGTCGCTTTCTGGAGGCCGTTGTCCGGCGGGCGCGGGCGTTCCCGGGGATCCTCAAGGAGCAGGCCAGTGAATCGCAGGGCAGTGGGAGTGAAGGGGCCTTTTCTAGGCTGGAAAAAATCGGACCCCGGCAAAAAGTGAGATCTTTGTTGCCTGGTTGGTGGAAAGCAAAGGGACCCCAAAAAAGCAAAAAAATCAAAAAGGGGAGCTAATTCTGGGGGAGTTTTGAGGAGGAAGCAAAAACATATCTTGAGCGCTGGTGCGGCTCCACTTAAATTTGGGAAAGCTATTATCTCCTTCAAGTATGAAGCCAAGCTGAAGCAGTGGAACTGCGGCAACTGAGAAATGTCAGGCTTGGGCAACTGAAGCCCGAGTATTCTTCGGCTGCGCTTGCCCAAACCCGGGCGCAACCAGTTTTTAGTAGGGTGCGGGGGGGGGGGGGGGGTTCTAGGTTTAGTGGGAATCGGACCACTTTTGGAGGGGAACACCCCTATTGATAAAATGAGGGTGATTAATATGGGGTCAACATTGAGCAACCAGCACCCTGGACAGATCCCCAAAGGCGGACTTCCAAGTTTGCACCAAGGGCCGTAGAATGTTGGGGGTCCGGAATCCTCAGTGCTGTGTGTGTGTGTGCATCAAAAGTTTGCTTGCAGCATGCTTGTTGAGGTTGATGACTATCCGGCATGCAACGCACCCCCCCCCCCCCGATCTATGGGTTCTTCGTTCATCAACCCTCTGCCCTTCCCACAATTGGCGAAAGTTCGAACCAACAATGGGTGTGCCTTTTTTGACCCTTTAAAAGGCCGTTTCAAAGGGAGACGAGGAAAACCAGAATCACTTTTTGGGGGTCCACTACATGTTGGGTCCCCCGCCCGGCTCAGAAACCAAGCGCTCGCCAATTGGTTTTCGCCACGGCTGCGCTGGATTGTACCAAAATCAGCGGTCGCCACGGTCGCCACGGTCGCCACGCCTTGGCGTGGCAATATGCAGCAGCTTTCAGCCATCGAGCAAACTGAAAGGAGCACACTTCGAAACCAAAGACAAGTGTTTGGGTCTAAGCTGTTTTAGTTGTTCTTGAGCGAAGCGATTCGCTCTTTCATCTTTCCTGCTTTATCTCTCCCGCTCTCTCGCTCTCTCTCTCTCTCTCTCTTTCTTTCTCTTCTGTTCATTCGTTTCTGAATTGTCCCTGACGATGACCCATTTCGCCGCAGAAACCGCACATAACTTAACCAAGGTTAGGTCAAACTGTGCTTCCCCGATCCATGCCTCTTCTCGGGACCAGAATGGGGCAAGCAGCTCCAAAGCTAACCCCGAATGCAAAGGACCTTCCCCCCCTAACCCCCCGCCCCCCCCCCCCCCGGGCAGAGGCTGCGTGCATCAGCCAAAAAGAATGGCCATAGAGTATGATTCTCTGTCTTCAAAGATTCCTGTTTTTGGCCCCTCCGGGGTACCCGGGTCAAAAGCAAAGCCCTACCGGAAAACCCTTCAAGCCCCCCGGCCCAGCCAATCCTTTCCCCCCCCCCCTCCTCCACCCTCCTCCACCTTCAGCCCTAAATCCTCTGGGCCCCAGGCACTCAGTCCAACTCCTTCGCGAAGCAGGACGCGATGTTCGTTGAAGCGGTGCCCTTGCCCTGACACCTGACGAGAGCTGCCACTGGCCGGGGGGCGGGGGCTCTGCGACAGGCCCGAGGAAATACGTGGGAGTGGCCCGAGGGATACGCAGGTTTAGTTGTTGGCTCCATTTACAGAGGCACCATGTTACAGTTTCTTGAGCCACAGCCATATGTGGGAGTGGGTTGAATTGTGTTTGGCAATATGTGCTAGGCTCCCATTGTCACAGCGAGGACAATCCTATCATCCCATCTAATGGTGTACTGTTCTGGTCACTCAGGTGGCAGGAGAGTCTATCTTTCGAAGGAACTTCCACTGTGGCTGGCAGATCTTGTGTTGGGGAATGTTCAAAGCTCCTGCTTGTGTCTCGCCTTCACTGGAACCAGCTTGGTCTTCACGGGCAGGAGCTTTTACACGGAGCCTAAGGAGCTACATTGTAGCTCCTTAGGCTCCGTGTAAAAGCTCCTGCCCGTGAAGACCAAGCCGCCCCCAGTCCCAAGAAAGCCTCTTTTTGGAATTCCTTATAAAGGGTGCTTGTAAGGCTCCTTAGACTCATGTCACGAGTCCAAGGAGCCTTACGAGCACCTCCATAAGCAATTTCAACCGAGGCTTTCTTCGAAGACTTCGGAGCTTAACCAGTGAGCCCGACAAGCGAACGCTTTTCGCAGGAGCTGTTCACAGGAGCCGCACACCGTCTTGATCGGGCTCCGAAGCTTGAGCTAGCCGTGGTTTGAATTGTTATGCCAACGTAAAAACAAGGTGCCCTTAGTAAGTTGAGCTTAAATTATAAATCATGGGTTGTTTTCTAAGCAATCAAGGTTGATTGTTTGGTGAGCAGGGGAAGATGGCTTTTTCTGAAGGACACGTGCTAAATCACAAGAAATTGCAGGAGAACCAAACAACAAAACAGAAATGAGAAAACGCAAAAAGCAGATGTGTTAGTTTTGCCAAAATATTGTTTTTTGGACTTTCTCCAGGCTGTTCCCTGGTTTTACCTTAGTCTGTTTTAAGCATGTTTACTGGTGCTTTTGTAAGGTTGTTTGGTGGTCCGAGAAAACCGAAAAAACAGTTGGCAACAGATAAAACAAAACGAAACATATCGTTTAAGTGTTGATGTTGTTGCTGGAGGTGTCTTTTTGTTCTTGGTTCTGCCTCAGTTTGTTTCGTGACTTAGCATGTGAACTCAACATGTGTTTGGCTTTTCCTGCTGACACTTGCCACAAAACAAAAACGAGTCGTTCATGGCACATGATAACAAGCCAAGAAAACCGTGGGCAAACAAAAAGAACACAAACATACTCTAGAAAGGCAAAGCAAAACCGCAGCAAAACCGAAAGCTTATCCCTTGTGGTTTGGCTGTTTTGTTGTTTTGTTTCTAGTAAGTTTGTAGTCAAGTGCATTGGCGTTATCAAATCTCAAAGATTCATGTATATGTGTGTGTGTTTGTGCGAATTGGCAGACTTAGTCAAAGTAAACACAAAACATGCAGTAAACAAAACGCTGACAAGGCTCAAAACACAAACTAAAATGTTGCGTGCGGCAAGAAACCTAAAAGAAAACAGGGTTGTGTTTTGCGTTAGTTCCAAGACAGCAGAGTGAAGGTAGTTCACGGTGGGACCCATTCCCATGTTCAAACAATTCAGCCACATCAAACACAAAATATCCTCTTCCGGTCTACCTAAAGGTTCTCGGTGAGGGACTGCACATTTCCCCCCGACAGCGACAGCATCCGGCCGGCCTCTCCCCAGCTTCGCAGAGGCGCCAGCGGTTCCAGGGGCAACCTGCACAGGTCCCCTGCAAAAGTGGTCTGAATCCCCACCAAACAGAAAACACCCGCCTAGGATAAGAACCCGGCATTTGTTCATCTGGGGTCAACATTCTGCCTTGAGGATTGAGATAAACTGTTGGGTCCACCTACAGTATGCTTTTTGCTCTTAATAGTTGTACAACTGCTGGCCATTTGCCGCAATTGGAGCCAGTTGCAGGCTGTGCCAACAGCCGACAATTCGAAGAAACAAATCGACTCTACACCTGGCGCACGCGGCAACACTGGAAACTTACCACTCATGGAGGACCAAACGACCGGAGAAAGACGTTTCGGTGCGTCGGTCCGGCTTCCGTGCTCAGATCACATGAACTGCACTTGGACCAAGAAAGCGTTCGGAGGCCCAACTCGCGAGTCGCTTCGCCGTTTCGCTTCACGCTCCATTCACCGCGGGAGCCCTCGCTCGCTCCATGGCCGAGGCGATCCATGGCCGAGGCCGCGGCGTTCGGTCCACTCGTCCTTCGCCCTGGCCGCGATCCACTCCCACAAGTCGCAACCTCAGCTCCCATCCATCCGCCCTTGCGCCAGCTGGGCGTCTTCTTGTTCACTGTCCTTTTGGGCTTTTCCCCTTGCCAATCAATTAGGGGGCTCCCTAAAACCTCACAAAAACCTTGGGCGCTGATTGTCCGGAGAAGATGTGATGCAAACATCTGAGTTTACATGTATGTATACAAATGTGCAGGCATAAGGATACCTAGGCCCAAAACGCGAATGATTGCACCTTCGGACACACTCCTGGCCTGGTTTCAGGGCCAAAATGACAGAATCTCTTGGCTTGGTATTGCCTGTTCCAAAGTGGCCTCTCGCTTCCTGCTAAACGTGCGTGTGCGGTGGAGCTGTAAACACCTCCCTGCGTTTGCTTCAACCTGAGCCTTGATCCGAATGCATCTCAAAAACTTACGCGGTGAACTGCCCATTCGTTGCTATCGTGCGGGGACTCAAAGACAACGGCCGATCAAAACCCACAGACTCCGCCGCCGTCCTGACCATCTTGGACTCTCACGCCCGCGAAGCGGCTTTACGGGAGCCGCAAGTGCTTCACTCACGCGGCGTCTGATAAATCCATCGGACCTCCGAAACCCTCGTGCCGGTCTTTTGGGGCTCGGCAGAAGCGTCGTCTCTGGGGAGCTCAGAGCTACGAGCGCTTCAGCACCCTTCCGCTTCATCCCGGGTTGCAACCACAACCAAACCCAGCCGTGCAAAGGCAAAACCCACAAGAAAGCCGGCCGAGTGGTTCGGCCGCCGGCGATGTTCCGGTCCCAAACAACAAACACGCCATGGTCGAGCATGGAAAGCCCGGGTTGGAGTCGAAAAGCTGGGGAACAGCCGCTGGGCAATGCGTCTTGCAGCTTTTTTTCGGATAAGTGCTGCCCCCCCCCCCCCCCCACGTTCCCCGTCGAGCTGCCGCCGGAGGACTGCGCAGAGCAAGGCAAGGTGGGCATCCCCGCGGATAAAAATGAAGAGGCCCTTCTTAAAATGTAGACGGGGTTCCATCTATATGTCAGCCTTTCTGGCGGCTTCAAACCCACCCTTTTGGCCCATAGGTGAGTTGCCCTTTGGTAGAAGTGATGCTGTTAAGAGGGCTAGAACATCCAAGTGCCCTCGACTCCTCCGGAGGTACCGGCCTGCGGTCCAAAACTTTCCCAAGACAGAAATGAAACAAAAGCCCAAGGCAGTGCTTCGACATCCCAAACACCCTCTTTTCAAGAACCAAACTGGACGTTTTGGGGGTCCCCCAAACAGGTCTCGTCGTCTTCCAGAACCCTCTGATCCTCAGCTTCCATGATTGTCGGAGGAAGGGCATACTGAAATTTGGCAAAGGAGAGCCGATGTGTTGAAAAACGCCAATTGCCAAGGGCCCGTCTTCCCTTTGTTAACACTTGAAGACTTGTCTCCATGCAGTGCTAGAGCAAGGCACTGGGAAAAACTGCAAATAGTAGGCCTCCCCTTATTGGCTTTTCACACCCAAAGAGAGCTCTTGTTTTGACACCGGCTTCTGGGTGCGTGTTCCATGTCCGATGTCAGAACACATCTTTCCCAGGCATTGGCCATACTCATGGAACAGCATCCGAACATGTCGAACCCTCGCTGCAATCACATCTCAGTCACGAAAAGATTGGCGAGCATAGCTGAAAAACAATAGAATCCATGGGTCAGCTTTCAAAGCAACAGCATCCCACAAGACTTTGACGCCCCGCAGACGTCGAGTGTAGCACAGCTCCAGAAGGACTCAAATGAAGAAACCAGACCTCACTCGAACAACAAAAAATATGTGATGAGTCTTTAATTCATGGCAGCTATGAAAGCGAGAAGCTGGAAGTGGATTGAGGCAAATATCCCCTCTATCGCATGCTCAAAGCCTTTGAGCCCTGAATCATGCCAGAAATAATGTTGACCTTTGAAAAGCAAGCAAGGCTAATCAGGATTCAGTGCACAATGGATCAACGCGTGGGCCCTCCAGTTCGTCCTTGCAAGGCCTTCGTCTTCTTTTCGACCAGCTCGCCCTTCACGTTGGTCAGCAGGCCCACGCAAGCGAACCCCTCGCTGGTGGTGCGGGCGGAGCAATAGTCCTGGCGCCCATTGCAAAGGTTGATCTCGGAGAGCAGCTCCGGTTTCTCCCCGTGACCGCATTTTGTTCAACTGGACTCGCCTGGAACGAATGTGTTATTTTAAATTTCCACGCAGGGACTGGCTCAAAGCGGCATTGTTGACCAGCTAGATGGGAGGTCAGCGGAACTCACACCATGCCAAAACAGAAGACCACTGCCAAACGAAGTGCCTGCAACTGGACCAGCCTATGACCCGCTGCTTGGGACTATCTGGAGCCAATGACTCGAACCCGTGCGAGTTAAAACAACAAAGAAGATGCAAATGAATGACTTGTATTAAGGTAGGCACCAAATGCATATCAAAGCTCACAACAGCACCACGTCATGAATGTGTAAGTGCCCCATGAGAAAACAATTCAACCACGGAGCGCCTCATCCACGAAAGGCGGTGCATCAGCGCAGTGTTTACAAGTTATGCACGAAGAACGGTATCATCCTTAAACTTCCCCAGGAGTATACGTTGCTGCTACATGATTGGCACAAACGATGATTCCACGCAAAATAAACTAAAGCATAGCGCGTTACGGTGCTGCCAATGTGCCCAGCTTGGACTTCGAAAAGCCAGCATGGGCAAGGAAGTCTTGAATGATCTGCAAGCACTGCGCATGTTGCCACACAAACACCCACGCAGAGACATGCATGAATGCAAGCAAACTTAATTGATACACACTCACACGCATCACATACTATTGTGTAATATTGCATCATATTGCATCACGTGTCATACATACATCGCATACAAGCATGAATACGCAAAGTCAGTTTGCATCCATTTCGATTAGATCACATCATATTGCTTTGCATGATCACGCATTTGTTGGCCCTACACATAAAATGACATGGTGTCAAACTCCGTTGTAGCAAAGTGCATGTGCCGACATGTTGCCCAAACAACCACAAGGGACATGGTGCTAACATCCCCTTCCACTGCTGAGCTGCGACTCAGTTGGCCCACCGTTGCTTTGCTTGGGCCCAAGCCACCAAAACAGCCAACCATTGCAAGCTTCAGCTGAAATGGCCCATCAATGACTCGTGGCATGTTTTCGAAATTGCACTTGGAGACCCAAGCCCGCCTTCAGCCACGTCTTCAACTGCGTCTTTGACGCACGGCCGTCCTCAATGGCTCAGTCTGATGGGTTTCCCATTGGGCCTGTCAGCCTCTAAGAGTGGATGCAAATTCGAGTTTGCAAATAGACGGATGTCAGAAGGAGTCTACAAAAGATGGCGAGTTGAATGCTTTCGCTGGAGGCTGTGTCAGCCTGCCCATGGAGCAACACCGTAGCACAGCTACCAGGATAAGGGAAACCTAATGCACAACTGCGAAAGGCAAAGCTGATTAAACATGTCTTCTAACAATCTTGCGAGCCGATGCACACGCAAAGCCCCTTCCAATGACAAACACTTTGAGCCTGAACAGTGGAGGTTGTTTCAGACGGGTAAGTAATCAATATGTTGTTTCAAACAAGCCGATGCAACATGGGACTTAAGAAGAGGCTGGCGATCATGGGATGAATTTGGTGCCCGGCTGACACGTGCTACAAAAGGTTCATAGCCTTTGGTGGTGGTCGCGGTCGAGTAATTGGAATTCTGGCAGCAAACAAAGGGCCTGCTCAAGATGCAAGGCTGAAGGATGTTGTCTTGAATTTGACCCACAGTGTACGGGATGAGAGCAATAACACTGCCCACACTGTGTTGAGTTACAACCACTACCCGAATCCTGGCTAAGCCAGAGCTACAAGAACCGCCAAAAGCCACAGAAGCGCGCAAAAATCCGCGACTGCGCAAAAAAGCACCGACCGGCCACTCGACCGACCGACTATGCCACGACCCGGGGCCCTTTTGGGAGTTCCCCAAAGGATGGACACACCCACATGGGTGTAGCTCAAAATTAAAGAGTCGGGGCAAACCGCAGGTTTTAGTCTTTGTTTCCACTAAACCAAGGGGCCATTTTTGCAATTCCTTTTTTCGAGCCACAGCATATTTACAGTCTTGTGCATTACGCCCAGGCGCATCCCTGCCCACCGATGTCGCCACGATTCTTTCCTCGGCACGCCAAGTCGTCAGAGCCATGGGCGCAGCTTGTTTTGGGCCCAACCAAGTGGGACCAAAGCCGATTTGCTTCTGTTTGCAACACGAATTCTGACACGTCACTTGGAATTGAAAACCCAAAACTCATTCTCCTCAAAATCTCCAATTCACCTGTGAAACTTAGGCCATCGCCCTGAAACGTGTTTTACGTGTGTCCAGTTCATTCAAGCCCTCATGGGTCCCGACATCACCAAACATTTCCTGAAAAAATCCCGGGTGAAACCTGAAAATTTCGGGGTGCAGCATCTTACCGCGTTTTGGTTCCCCAAATGGCCCCCGCCAACCGAACGACCGAACGACCGAGCGACCGAGCGACCGAGCGACGCCTCGGACGCCTCGGCTCGATCCGGGTCCAAGGTGCCAAGTTCTTCCTTGGCCAGACACCGCCTGAAGGGCCACTCTGGCACGCCTGGCATAGCCCAAAGGCACCGACTAGGGGCGATCGAGGCAGGGTACCTCAGGTAAGTGATCGTAAGCCTGGTGAGACCCACTCATGGTTGTAAGTCTCCGTTCAGTGGGTCTTAAAAACCACTTGCCCTTTGAATCCACAAAAGAATCGGTCGAAAGCAGCAGATCCGCAACAGTTGAGTGCCTTTGTAAGAAAACGCCGGTGTCCTTTGCTTTCCCAAGGCTGGCTTGAGCGGACCAGCACTAGCAATGCTGGGGTCCTATCTGTCGATGCTGGTGACTCTCGGCAAACGGATAAATAAATGACACACCCACCCATCCACCCACACCCACCCACTCACCCACCCAGCCCCACGGAGCCCCACCCACACCCAACAACACCCACCCAACCACTCCAACACCCACGCCCACCCACACCCACACCCACAACCACAACCGCAACAACCAAAACCACAACCATAACCACAACAACAACCACAACCACGAACACAGACACAACCGCAAACACAAACAGCACAACACAATACAATACAACAATACAACAAAATACAACGCAACCACCCACCCAACCACCCAACCACCCAACCACCCAACCACCCAACCACCCAACCACCCAACCACCCAACCACCCAACCAACAACCAACAACCAAGCAACAAGCAACGTGCAACCACCAACCACCAACCAACCAACCAACCAACCAACCAACCAACCAACCAACCAACCAACCAACCAACCAACCAACCAACCAACCAAGCAAGCAAGCAAGCAAGCAAGCAAGCAAGCAAGCAAGCAGCCAGCCAGCCAGCCAGCCAGCCAGCCACCTAACCAACCAACCAACCAACCAACCAACCAACCAACCAACCAACCAACCAACCAACCAAGCAAGCAAGCAAGCAAGCAAGCAACCAAGCAACCAACCAATCAAGCCAGCAAGCAAGCAAATTACACTCCACTACACTGCACTACATTGCATTGCATTACATTACATACATACATGCGTTGGTACATACATACAAACGAACAAGCAATCAAGCACGCAAACAACAGCAGCCAGTGCAAGCCCCTGGCAAGAAGCATTGTTCGGAAGCATGACATGTCTTCCAACCAAGTTTTTGCTTGCAGAAAAAGAAGAAGAAAAAAAGAACAAAAAAATAACTCCTTTTCCTGCACCTGTTCTGAGGCACCACCCTATGACCAAAACCACAATGCTTTCCGCGGTTTCTGATCTGACTTGCAGCAGATTCTCACGGCAACCAAAAAAAAGCCAGTCGATTGATGCTGGGCGCCTATCGGACCCATACATCAACAAAAAGCTACATTGACCAGAATCCCTGGGCGTGTTTTCGCGGCCCATAAAACGTGGGTTTTTTGTAAACACCGAACCAACCACGCACTCCGTCATACATAAACATACACACCCACGCACTCCATCGCACGCAAGCACACCCGCCCAAGCACCCGGTCGCACGCTGGCACATGGTAAGCACACCCGCCCACACGCCGCCTGAATCAAAAGCAACCCCAAGCACTCCAGAGTGCGCTTTGACGAGCGAGGCTTTTGCTCACTCATCATTGTCAACGGTGCGGCGTGTTACAAACCTATCAAGTAGAAGTACAAGCTGTTGCCGCACCAATGCAACTCCAAAGGAACTTGGAGCATTAATAGAAATGTAGGCCAACGTGGTCGTGCGAAAATTCATACAAGTTCAGTAGGCAGCGTAGAAAAATCCTTGGTTTTGCCCAGATCCTGTTTTGAGCTCAAAAACGCTGCCAGGTGTGTGACTTCCAAAACAGCCCCCTTGTTTGAATGTCTTTTTTGGCGTGCAAGAGCTGCCGCCGCCTCAGCCAAATCAATGTTTTGACAGAAAATCTGGCCTCATCTTCAAGAACAAAGTACTAGATCCTGCCTGATCGCCCAGTTGCTGCTCCTTTTCCCCCGACACTTTACCCTAAGAACCGTCGCAGTTGCCGGGAACCAGCGGCCACTGGCGATCCACCCCCCACCCTCGAGGATCGATCGATCGATCGATCGATCGATCGATCCCGTCCTTCAAGGCTACAACGGCTGGATCTGCATCGTGCGGCTGATCGTCGACCTGGAATTCGGAACCCTTCACCAGCTTTCACCAACCTCTGTCAAAGGGCCCAGAGATACAAGGTTGGCCTTTTGGGGCCACGACCTACAATGGACCAAACAGAGAAAACCAAAAGGTCGAAAAGTTGGCTTGGGGCAAGTGAGCGACGCAAAACAGCAGAAAAACCTGAAGAGCCGAACGTCTAACCAAGAACAGGAGAGTCCATTTCTAGAGGGGAAAGCCAGTTCTGCCTGGTCCATTTTTGGACACTTAAAACCAGGAAACCCTTACAAAACTACGGTTGTCCATTTGGTTGCCCCTTAAAACCACTCCAAAAATTTGACACTCCCATGTTCGGCCCGACCAAGCTTAGACCGACTTGCCTCCATGGCATCCCAGGGCATTGTCTCTAGTGGTCCTTTGACAGTGTCCAGCCATGTGCTAAATACAACCCGCCCTTCACTCAGTCGGGGCTTGTTGAATGCAACACGCTGTGCGTAATACTCGCTGCAAGCATGATGTATGAAGGGGAACCATAAGCCCTCAAAACTCTGGTTTGTGATGAGTGTAGCGCCTGACTGAGCCCACAAAATACATGACATCAATAGAATGGAGTCCATCAAAAAAGCGGAAGAAGAAAAAACTGGAGGCGCTACGACGGCACGCAACTAGGAGGTGACCTGTTGTTTGTGATTCGAGGCAATGCTGTTTCACCAGGATTGCAAACCAAACCAACTAGACATCACCTTGAAGCTAAGGACTCCGATCTGGGTGCTTCTCAGTCGGTAGGAAACCTGAAAGAGTCGGTCGCCCAGTTTAACATCCGAATGGACCACGGACCATAGACTTTGGTTGCTTTCTCCAAGGGTGTGGTGAAAACACCGGTCACCTATGCGTCAAAATTGAACTACCACCATAACCGCAGGTTTTAGTCCGGTTCCATTTTGGCAGGGGGTCAAACATAGGTACCCAAAATGGAACCCTGGTAGGTGGCAACATGGACCAAAACCTGTGGTGCCCTGGTGGTTTAATTTTGACCCACACCCGTTTCATTTTGGGTACCCCGCAGCCGTCTCTTTTCGGGCGGTTGGGTCTGGGCCTCCGCAGACACGATTGAGAACTCCTCCATTTCCTTGGCGCGCGTCTCCGCCTCGCGCGAAACAGGAAAACGTCGGCGGCTTAAACAGGGATCCGGATGCATGAAAAGCACCTGAACATTGCCTTGTAAATGGTGGGAAACCCCTTTATTTTGGTGTTGAAAAAGCCACATGTGTCAAGTGGTTGCAAAATGTATCTTTTAAGGAGCCTGTTAAAGCAGCGGGGGGCGCCTCACGTCAGCGGTTAGGAAGCCTTACTAAATATACCCAATCGCCCCTTTTCAGTACCCTGCCTCCCACAAACAGAAGCCACCTGTGCTGGAAGATCAAAGAGGAAAGTGTGTCTTTCGTAGACTTCGACGAGTCTGCGAACCCAGAAAATGGGGATGGAGGTGGATCGAGCTTGTCTGCAAATGGACATATAGGTGTGTAAGAGGAGGGGAACGCCCTGATTCGGGTACGGATACGAGCGCGCTTCTGAGAAAGAACCTCGGAGGCCAACTGGACAGCATCGTGGAGTTTCCAAGGTTCGAGCGTGAAGTTGAACGCAGAAAGGAGGGTGTGGTACGGGGCAACTTGGGGCAGCATTTGAATCCGCCGTCGCCATACTTGGACGAGCGGCCTTTGATCTTGTGAACGGTGATCTGATGAGAGGAAAGGTTGTAGGCTCGACGCCGCATGGGACACGACATGCGCTGTGCCTTACGCCATGCGTGAAGAAGGGCAACAAGCCGCCCAAGTGTGGCAAAGGCCAACGTGGCCAAAAGGAGAAGAAGGCGAAGACTGTGGCGCTTTGTGAGAATGTCTCATCATGGCAAAAAAGGGCTGGTGGCAGATTCTGTCTTCAACCAAAATGTCATGCTCAACCGGAAGTTGGGTACTAAACAAACTTTCTGCTCTTGCAGGTCTGGAAGACGTCTTGTTCAATAGAGAGTTCCAACATGAGAATAGAGGCGCATCTTAAAATCATACGGTTGCGAATAGTCATAATCGCTTCCTTGCGGATGGAGGCCTTTTGGAGCAAAAGGTGCACATTGTTGCCCAAAGCTGTCTTGTCAAATCCCACAGCTGGCAATCCCTTGAAAAGTGCTGCCCGGTCCGCTCTGGACGGACGTTTGTCTGTTAGTCATTTCCCTCTTGAGCTGCAGGAATACAAATTATTTCGTAGACTGGGAAAACTGATCACAGAGTTTGAGGCCCTGGAGAGCAAAAAGGAAAAGCAGTGGCTGGTCTGCGGTACTGTCAACATCTGTAGTGGTTGTAGAGGGAGAGCGACGAGGCATCACACTTGGTAGTCAAAGTTGCCCCTAGCTTCAAAAGAGCTCTGAAGTTGTCGGCGAAGAGCAGGATCCAGCTCAATCCATTCTATTTCTATCTCAGAAACTCTTGGAAGGAGTCGTCTGTGACCCTGCACTTCGTGGTTTGGGGTGGTGGCACGCTGGAAGTAGTCTCGCCCTCGTGCTAGAGAAAGAGTTGCCACTTAGCCCTGCTGCTCCGGGGTCATTTGAAGATTGATTGCCTCCTCTTGTCCATGACTAAGCTGAAGCAAAAACGGACCAAGTTCGGGTTGGCGTGCGCCAAATCTTGTCAAACGCTAGGAGCCTAGAAGAACTTGAATGTGGTGGGGGCGGATGTCTTTTGTGAGGGCACCTGCTTCGTGTTGTGTTTTAAAGGAAACTATCCTGAAAGCCGCTGCCATGTGTTGGGTCCAGCCCCAAATCCAGTCGTTGGGCCAGTGAACATCCCAATCCCCCAGTAAAATAGACTAACATGGGTGCTGCACCCCAAAATGGGATCCCATTGGTTTTGAGCCACAGCCATATCGCTCCATTCGCCTTGTCCATCTCCTCTTTGGCCACCGGGGACAAGCTCCTCTTTGCCTCGGAAATCGAAGTCGTTGCCGCCCGTGCTGCCAGGTTCCGCTCCTTGCATCGGCCAGGCGCCGGCGGCGGGGAAGCTGGCTGGCTGGTTGAGTGGCTTGTTCGTTCGTTCGTTCGTTCGTTCGTTCGTTCGTTCGTTCGTTCGTTCGTTGCTTGCTTGCTTGCTTGCTTGCTTGCTTGCTTGCTTGCTTGCTTGCTTGCTTGCTTGCTTGTTTGCTTGGGTTGGGTTGGGTTGGGTTGGGTTGGGTTGGGTTGGGTTGGGTTGGGTGGGTGGGTGGGTTGGCTGCTTGCTTGCTTGATTGCTTGCTTGTTTGCTTGCTTGCTTGCTTGGCTTGGCTTGGGTTGGGTTGGGTTGGGTTGGGGTTGGGTGGGTGGGTGGGTTGGTTGGTTGGTTGGTTGGTTGGTAGGTTGCTTGGTTGCTTGGTTGCTTGGTTTCTTGGTTTCTTGGTTGCTTGGTTGCTTGGTTGCTTGGTTGCTTGCTTGCTTGCTTGCTTGCTTGGTTGGTTGGTTGGTTGATAGGTTGCTTGGTTGCTTGGTTGCTTGGTTGCTTGGTTGCTTGGTTGCTTGCTTGCTTGCTTGCTTGCTTGCTTGCTTGCTTGGTTGGTTGGTTGGTTGGTTGGTTGGTTGGTTGGTTCGTTGGTTAGTTGGCTGGTTGGTTCGGTAGTTGGTTAGATGGTTGGCTGGTTGGTCCGTTGGTTGGTTAGTTGGTTGGCTGGTCGGTCGGTTGGTTCGTTGGTTGGCTGGTTGGTTCGTTGGTTGGTTAGTTGGTTGGCTGGCTGGTTGGTTCGTTGGTTGGTTGGTTGGTTGGTTGCTTGGTTGCTTGGTTGGTTTGTTCGTTCGTTCGTTGGTTGGTTGGTTGCTTGGTTGGTTGCTTGCTTGCTTGGTTGGTTGGTTGGTTAGTTGGCTGGTTGCTTGCTTGCTTGGTTGGTTGGCTGGTTGGTTGGCTGGTTGGTGGTTCGTTGGTTAGTCGGCTGGTTGGTTGCTTGCTTGGTTGGCTGGTTGGTTGGTTCGTTGGTTAGTTGGCTGGTTGGTTCGTTAGTTGGTTAGATGGTTGGCTGGTTGGTTCGTTGCTTGGTTGGTTGGTTGGTTGGTTGATTGGTTGGTTGGTGGGTGGGTGGTTGGTTGGTTGGTTGGTTCGTTCGTTCGTTCGTTGGTTGGTTGGTTGGGTGGGTGGCTGCTTAGAGGGTTGGTTGGCTGGCTGGTTGGTTAGTTGGCTGGTTGGCTGGTTGGTACGTTGGTTGGTTTCTTTGTTGGCTGGTTGTTTGGTTCGTTGCTTGGTTGCATGGTTGGTTGGTTGGTTGGTTGGTTGGTTGATTGGTTGGTTGGTTGGTTGGTTGGTTCGTTAATTGGTTGGTCTGTTGGTTGGTTGGCTAGCTGGTTGGCTGGTTAGTGGGTTGGTTGGCTGGCTGGCTGGTTAGTTGGTTGGTTGGTTGGTTGGTTGGCTGGTTGGCTGTTGGTTGGTCCGTTGGTTGGTGGGCTGGTTGGTTGCTTGGTCAGTTTGCCGGCTGGTTGGTTCGTTGGTTGGTTAGCTGGTTGGCTGGCCGGTTTGGTTGGTTGGTTGCCTAGTTGGTGGGTTGTTTGGTTGGTTGGCTGGTTCGTTGGTGGGTTGGTCGGCTGGTTGGCTGGTTGGTTGGCTGGCTGGTTGGCTGGTTGTCTGGTTGGTTGGTTGGTTGGCTCACTGGTTGGTTGGTTGGTTGGCTACTTGGTTGCTTGGTTGCTTGGTTGCCGGGTTGGTTGGTTCGTTGGCTGGCTGGTTCGTTGGCTGGGTGCTTGGTTCGTTGGTTGATTGGTTGGCTGATGGTTCGTTCGTTGGATACTTGATTTTGGATCGTTGGTTGGTTGGTTGCTTGGCTGGCCGCTTGGTTGGTTGGTTGGTTGGTTGGTTGGTTGGTTGGTTGGTTGGTTGGTTGGTTGGTTGGTTGGTTGGTTGGTTGGTTGGTTGCTTGGTTGCTTGGTTGCTTGGTTGCTTGGTTGCTTGGTTGCTTGGTTGCTTGGTTGCTTGGTTGCTTGGTTGCTTGGTTGCTTGGTTGCTTGGTTGCTTGGTTGCTTGGTTGCTTGGTTGCTTGGTTGCTTGGTTGCTTGGTTGCTTGGTTGCTTGGTTGCTTGGTTGCTTGGTTGCTTGGTTGCTTGGTTGCTGGGTTTTCTGGGTTGCTGGGTTGCTTGGTTTCTTGGTTGCTTGGTTGCTTGGTTGCTTGGTTGCTTGGTTGCTTGGTCGCTTGGTTGCTTGGTTGCCGGGTTGGTTGCTTGGTTGCTTGGTTGCTTGGTTGCTTGGTTGCTTGGTTGCTTGGTTGCTTGGTTGCTTGGTTGCCTGGTTGCTTGGTTGCTTGGTTGCTTGGTTGCTTGGTTGCTTGGTTGCTTGGTTGCTTGGTTGCTTGGTTGCTTGGTTGCTTGGTTGCTTGGTTGCTTGGTTGCTGGGTTGGTTGCTTCGTTGGTTGGTTGATTGGTTGCTTGGTTGGTTGGTTGGTTGCTTGCTTGGGTGGTTGGCTGGCTGGTTTGTTCGTTGGTTGGCTGGTTGGTTTGTTGGCTGGTTGGCTTGGTCGTTGTTTGGTTGGTTGGCTGGTTGGTTCGATGGTTGGATAGTTGGATGGCTGGTTGGTTTGTTCGTGGGTTGGTTTGTTGGTTCGTTAGCTGGTTCGCTGGTTCGTTGGTGAGTTGGTTGGCTGGTTGGCTGGTTGGCTGGTTGGCTGGTTGGCTGGCTTGTTGGTTCGTTGGCTGGCTCGTTGGTTGCCATAGCCCGGTTTTCAAATCCTGGGCCCCAAGACTGGCGCATGTCAATCAACCACTATGTTATATGGATCAAATCAAAGACCAGTATTGAGAAATGAGACTTTGCTACAAAGTGTCCGTCGATTCAGACAAAAGTACTCTTGAATTGAACATCAGCTTGCGGACCGGGGACACTTGGGATATCTGGGGATGTAACATTAGCACAGTTTGCATGATCGAATCAGCAGTGGGCCGCATTTGCAGTGCTCTGAGTTTAGCCTGAACCAACCAAGCTCACTGGCAGTATGGCGAGGCACGATCAAAGATCTCAGCATCTTGCGGTACTCGGTCTGCTCCTTGCAACTGCACCGGTCCGCACGGTCCGTCAAACCAGTCCCTTCGGGACCAAACGGCTTCTGAAACTCCAATCTTGACGTCCCTTCGGAGGGTAGCCGGCTTTGAGAAGCATTGGTGGCAAAGCTCCGAAACCAAAAGATCTCCGGAGAGCCTTTTTGGACTTAACCTCCGATTGCGAGGTCCTTGGAGCATGTGATGAAGCTCCCCTCCCAGTCGGTGGAGCCTCAGGGACAGGCCGCTAGTTGATCACTCGCACCAAAACAAAAAAAAGAAATGAGGAGTGCAGTCCTAAGTAAGTGAGGCCTACAAAACCGAAGGTATATCCGATCCGAGTGCGGGGCCCGTTTAACATTTAATAGAAAACAATCGTACCCTCGGATCCCACATGCTCCATCTTCAGCCAAGCTGCAAGTCGGAGCGCAGTCCTCCATGTCGCAGAGGGCGTCCGTAATATCTGGATCGGTCGCGGATAAAATGGGGGACCGTGACCCCAAACAAACAACCGACTTCCTGCTGGTGTCCCTTTAAACCAACCCGAACAAGGATACCCCTCCAAACACAAAGACAAACCCTAGCTCAACAAGCTGCGACCATGCCGATGGCGAAATAAGCCAACTGCGGGTCAGCTGAAACACTCGCAATCAACATTGCCTAGGTTGTTGCATAGTTCTATCATGTTCCATCTGGGGGCTTTGGTAGCTTGGATCGCCGATTTCGTTGTAGCATTAGCTTTCGGCTGGGAGGCTGAAAGGGGGGGTGAAACGCATCGCAAGGGGTCAAAACAGCCTTGACATGTTGAAATCCGCGCGGACAACGTGGGTTCTTTTCAACTTTCCCTTCGACTTCCGTGATGTTTTTTGCCCCAGGTCTAAGGCATGGGGGTGCAGGTGCCTTGATCAGAGATGGTGTGATAACAACCCCTCCTTCGAACTCCTTGCTGCTCAGTAGGGACGGGAATGAACCCAGTCCCCTTGAAGGAAACCACAACAAAAATGTGGTTGATTTCGTCCCCTGAAAGGAAACCACCAGTTGGATGGTTTATATTTCGGGGTGAGCTATTTCTCCTTCCCTGCATCCAACCCCGAGGCGTCTGGCGGGCCTCTGATGTGCGCCGCGATCATGCCCTCCAGGCCCAAGCCCAGACGCATCATGCACATGTCGCCTAGGCGCGGATACTCTGCGGCTGTACCAAAATGGCACCAAGAACGTACACTGCAGGCAAACACCCAAAAAAAAAACGATCCTGCAATGTTGACCCCGGATTCATAACCCCCTGTTTATTAATATGGGGGTGTTCCACTCCAACAGTAATAAATCCCCACCAAAACCAGAAACAACACCATATTAATGAACAGGAGTTTATTAATCCGGGTCAACATTCCTCTGGTTTTTCAAAGGGGTCCGGGGCGAACTTTCCATGTTAGTCTGGGCAGGGTAAATGGAACCAAAAGTCTACCTGCGCTTTGCCTTGGCTCTTTAAGTTTGAGCCACACCCACTTTAATCGACTCGGTACCTCAGGTAACTGGTGAAACAAGCCTGGTGAAATGATCCACAGTTGTTTATGTCTCCGTTGAATGGGTTATCTCACCAGGCTTGCCGTCCACTTACCTGACCTACCGGATGGATCGACTCTTCAAGTCGGCGACCAATTGCGAAGCCCGGATGAGCAACGGAGAAACTGTATCTTTTTCTGCAAAGGCCATGGGAAGACTTGCTGGTCCCACTGCTTGTCCCCCCCCCCCGATAAAACGGCACTCGTGGAGTCCTTTGATCAGTCAAGCGGCAATCCTCACCGGTCGTGGAGTCCTGTGCAAGTGAGGGAAAAATGCGGTGACTTAGGTTGTTCCCCTGGCCCACACGATCCACGCACACAAGCCACCACCAAAACTTCGTCTTCAAAGCAACTCAACAGCGGTGATAGCCATGAGTTCGCTGGACAATCCTCCACCTTTGTTCAAGGAAATCACCCGTGCCGCTACTGAAAAAAAGCCGGTGAAGGACCTCACGACACTACGAAAAACATACACCCGTGCCGGGGCAACTTGGGATTCTTCCAGATTGGGAACCCTGGAAAACACCTCAAAACATCCAGACTTCGGGCTTCGTGCAAAGCACCAATCTGGCATGCCAAATAAAGCACCTGTTTGATGATCCGCGTTCCCAACAGCTCCATAGATTCGTTGGCACAGGCCTGACTGGTGAAGTACCAAGAAACCCGAAGAGACTGTAGGGAGAAGAAACGTTGCCATGGCCTTCCTTGATGAACCATGAAACTTTCGTGCACACAAGAAAGAAGGAATGGACGCAAACGTCAAGTCGAAACCAGCGATGCATGGAGCCAGGCGATTGCCCAGCCTCTCTATATACATGAAGTACCCCCTGCGACCTCCAAGAAAATAGCATCACACGAGTCGTGGGCATGAAGAGCGAAAGAAAGAGAGCGAGAGAGAGAGAGAGAGAGATAGAAAGAGAGAGAGAGAGAGAGAGATAGAGAAATACAGAAAGAAAAAAAGAAAGAAAGAAAGAAAGAAAGAAAGAAAGAGAAGCAAGAGAGAAAAAGAGAGGGAGAGGGAGAGAGAGAAAGAGACTTTTTTGACTTTGGACTTGCGGAACTATGAGTCTGCATCCTTTGCGCGGAATGAGAAAAGCTCTTGGTTTCTGCCCTGCAGGCTTGGTCAGAAGCAATCTGACCTAAGACTACTCGCAGAGAAGCTCACGCTTGGGCGGCAGGGCCATGCTGCGCACAGTGGTATCTCGCAAAACGGCTACGGTCACCACCAAATTCGGAGGGAGTAACCGGCTTGTGGCAGCCGTTCGCCCGTGGCCCTGTCGATCCCTGCGCGCTGGAAATCCCAAATGGCAACAGCTTTTAGGCTTTAGGGCGCACCGCACGTGCCGCGCAAGAGCAGGCACCAAACTCAGGCTTGTCAAAAACCTCCGCAACAGAGATCTTGCAACAACCACTCGGGTTGATGTCTAACTTCCGGCGAAGGTCATCAGCAACTCACGTGGCAACCTAAAGGACCATACGGTGTGCAGCAAGTGACCTGCCAATTGGCCGGTTCGGTTCGGGGTTGAGGTCACAGTGGGGGAGGGAGGGAGAGAGAGAGACAGAGAGAGAGAGAGAGAGAGCGAGAGAGAGAGAGACAGAGCGAGAGAGAGAGAGAGAGAGAGAGCGAGAGAGCGAGAGAGAGAGAGAGAGATAGAGAGAGATAGAGAGATAGAGAGATAGAGAGATAGAGAGATAGAGAGATAGAGAGATAGAGAGATAGAGAGATAGAGAGATAGAGAGATAGAGAGAGAGAGAGAGACTTAGCTAGCTAGTAAGCAAGCTAGCTAGCTAGCTAGCTGGATAGCAAATTCATTAGTTTGTTTACAAGGGAATTCCGCAGGCCCGCGAAGCCCCCCGCCTCGGCGTCAATGACACCATCCGAGGGCAGTTCTGGCACGACCTGCGTAAGGCCGACCGGTCCAACAACATGTCGCGTGGAACTCGGATTCGAATGTCAACTTTGGCTTCCGCCGGCCCCGTCCCGCGCGGATGGTGGCTTTTGTTTATGTGAGTTCATTTTGTTGTGTTTGTTTCTTTGTTTTTTGGTTGGGGGGGTGTCTAAATGCAAAGTGCGTCCTCCAAATAGCCATGGAGATTGATCTCCAACCTCAAGGGCGAGAACACATCCCACGCCCGGCACGCTCGCGTCCCTCACCCGCCCCCCTCACCTCGGGGATGACAGGGGGCGGCGAAGGGGGAGGCGAAGGGGAAGGCGAAGGAGAAGGCGAAGGGGAAGGCGCCTGGCTGCATCTTCACAAGTGGCTGCGTCGTTTCTTGTTTGGGGAACCCACCAAAACGGATGTGTTGTCTGTCTTGTATTGTTGTTCTTGTTTGGTCCTCTTGGTATCCATTTAAAAGGGGGTCAACAAAGGGAACCACCAAGTTGGAGTATCCACTCTCCCACCAACGCGCCTCGGTGGAGGGCGTGGGCGAGGCCACCTGGCGAGAAAAAAGAAAAGCCACATGCGGCAAGCCGCATGGAAAAGGTGAGTCGCTTCTGCAAAAAAAAAAAACTACTTGGGGGGTTTGGAGTGGTTCAGGAGCCGATGAAGCCAAAATGGGGCGAAGAAAATAAGACATGTCCAGACCACCAATGAAATCACCAACTACATGGAAGCTGATCCTCAGGTCAGCAAAAATGGAATGTCTTTATGGCGAGGCTTGAAAGCTCTCAGCTACAAAATCCTACAAACGCACATGTCGCAAAGCGCCTTGGGATCTAGATCTATTGCCTCTCACCTCTGCATGTCGTTTGAAACGGCACTTTTCAAGCTGCAGTCGCCGACTCAAGTGGCAACAGGCCGTCCGAGGTGGAGGTGTGTTTCCCTTTCAAAGGCAGGCAACGTGCGCTCAAGCTGCTCGAAGCCTGAACTTTAGGTTCAGGATTGAGTTGCTTGCTTACGCTGGGGCTCCGCAAGTAAGGTTACTGGATTGTTGTGACACTGGTAGCCTCAGGGCGCGACTAGAGTAGCAGGCTGGTTGGCTGGTTGGCGGGTTGGCGGGCTGGCGAGATGGCTAAATGGCTGGATGGCTGGATAGACAAACAAACGGCATGGTTAGGCGCATGCGCTTGTCCTTCTACATCGTCCGGTCAAGCCAGTCACCATTTTCTTGAACTGAACTTGTCAAAAACGTCTCCAAATGTTTCCTGCATCCATCCCCACTCCCCACACACCTCCCATTGGAACTCGGCAAAACCATTGGTGGGAAAAAAAGTAATGCGCAGCTGTTGGTCAAGTCATGCCGCCCCAAGCAACCGGCATATTTTTGGAATGAGCTGGTCCCCCCTAAAGATTTATCCTTCCAAAAATGGCTTCCATACTGTGGACGGACGAAGTCCTGCACCACCTAAGAAACCATGACGATTCCCCTGTAAATACCAAACAAACGTGGCTTCAACCCATGGGTTTCATTTCGTGGTGCGGGAGTTCGCAAAAAATCCACAGGTCGCTACAAGGAAAAGCACGGGCCCCTCTGCGTGCCTTGGCACGCTGGAAGAGCCGGACGGGCGTGACAAGAGCCCCAAACCGTCCCAATCTAGTTCCCCTGACCTGATTTCACCCAAATATGGCCCAAAGAAGGCCAGATTCGGGGCTATTCAGGGATTGGACTGGAATCCTATGAATTTGTTGAGTTGGGTGGCGCTGCCCTTTACAACCCTCGGTATGGCCTTGCAACAAACGGTCTGGTGTTTGCAGCCCCGAAAACGATCAGAACCAACAAACCTAAAAACATGCCAGCGACGGTGAAGTTTCTTTAACACCTGATTTGAACCAAGGTTTGCACACCAAGGGCAAACCTACACTTTAGGTAGGCAATACATTTGGAAAAAATGGAAGGATGACCTCACAACGGAAACCCATGTCTGGGAGCATGATCAATTTGGGGGGTGATCAATATTCCTGGCCCTCAAATGACCATGTGTAGGTTGTCCCATGCGGTTGAAATATCAATCTTGTTTTCGTGGTCTTCCAACCAATGGGCATCCCATGTTTCATAAACGGTTTGCTCAACCCCCCATTTCTTACGCACAAAACCCACAAGGCCCTGTCAGTCAAAGAGGCAGTCAGCAGACCCGAGACAACGTGGCTGGACTGATCCCTGAAAAAGCCGTAGAAGGGCGGTTGCAGCATCTGCATCCAAGCAAAAGATGTTGGCAAACAGCAGGTTGCACCAACCAGAAAATTCCAAAAAGAGAATTGCTGCAATGTCAACTCTCGACCCAAAAACGAACTTGGGGTGGGTGGACTTGGGGATTGAATTCCTGTCATATCATTGGCTTCCCTCGAGCGGGATAGTGTCCCATTTAACCTCCACAAGAACCAGGAAAATGTGAACCCCAAACTCCAAAGCACCAGTGCATAGTTCCCTGAAACGCTGCCAATTTCCTCCCGCCCCAAGTTTCCTCCACGGCGTTGCTTCAGGAGCACCCTCCGATTCCCGAACCCCCTGAATGAACACAGGGGAAGAAGAAAAAGAAGAAAAAAAACGCCAGCGTCCAACACGAGCGAGGTTGTCCACCGAGTCGATGCTCTCGGGCATCGGGTCCGGGTCCGTGTCTCCCTTCGGCATGGCCGGCGGCGCCTCGGATCCGGTCGCGACGGATCGGACTCAAAGGCCTGACCGAAACCCCGGCTTGAAGTTGTGACCCAAGAAACGAGGAAAAAACGGCGGCCCCCGGGTTCAAAACGATATGATTGGTTGCTCCTCGTGGACGAGCTCTCCCGGAAAGATTGGGTGCTGATTGGTGGTGACTCTCCTGCTTTACGACCAGATTGTGCTTCAGAATTGCCAGAGATTCGAGCGGATCGAAGGTCGCCCCGCGGCAGAAAGCCGATGTCTTGCACTGGCAAAGCGCAAGGTCTCTGACCGAAGAAAAACTCCCGGGCAAAACCAAATCCGATTCCCTGACCCAGGTGGTTTTGCCAATGCGACTCAAATGCATTTGCTTCCAGTGCCCGTTTCGATGTATGTACCATGTGCGAATTTCTCTCTCTATATGTTGATGTGTATATATAAACAGAAGCTACCCCCCCCGGGACCCCCTCCCAGGACCCACGCACTTGCTATGAATGCATATATATATATATATATGCTCACACCCCACCCATGATCCACTTGTTCCTCCTTTGCACATCTTCCATTCTTGCAAGTCCACTCAAAGTCTACCATAGCTTTGCACATTTGCTCATTTACCATCTGCCACCTTTTCAAATCTGCTCCACTACTGTCCATTACCTTTCCACGTGCTTGCCAAACTGCGATTAACTTTGATTAGTCCTGTTTGGAAAGGACTTCCCACTCAAAATAGCAATCAAAATAGACATTCAAATTCCATTTACATAGCAATTATCTTTGATTAAAAGCTGATTTGGAAAGTACTTCCTACTCTAATCCTCAGCTAGAATAGGCATTCAACCGCAAATGCTTTGTTCTTCAATTCTATTACAATTCTAACTAGATGTTGATTTAAATCTTATTTAATTGACACAGCAAATATATTCGAACTACTCCCTGACTAAGTTCTACTCATGGACAGGACACTTTGCTCAGTTTCTAGCTGCAGATAGAAGTCTAATGGAACTCGTGCCCTATTAAATTCTTTGCACGTTCTGCTGGTTAATGTTTCTTCTTTCCATTCTCATTCAACATAGAAATCCTACTAGACTTTCTTCCTTTAAACACTGATTCAACCTCAATTGGAGTCCAATTTGATATAAGGAGCCTTATAAGGAGTTCTTTCTACAGAGCATTAACAGGAGCTGTACATGGAGACCCACAAGCAGCTTTTCAAGGAGTATAAGGAGCTTTATAAGAACTTTGACATGTGCATTATTAGCTGTATAAGGAGCCTTAAATGCAGCTTTGCAATGACCCTTATGACGAGCTTTATCATGAGCCTTAAAGGGAGCTGTACAAGCAGTTGTGCAAGAATTTGTACAAGGAGCCTTTAAAGAGCCTTAAACAGAGCTTTATGATGAGTCGTGTATTATTTGAAACAGCTTTATACTGCGATCCCTATATGGAGCCATGACATAGAAGAGCTGTATAAGGAGTCCGACAAGCAGCTTTAAAGGAGCCTTATGAGGAGTGTGAAAAGGAGCTGGACCAGGAGCCTTCCATAAGGAGCTGCATCAGGAGCTTGAGTACCAAACCTGCCCAGAAAACAACAAGAAACAAAAAACCTAAAAACCAGGGGCCTCATGAAGAAGGGCCCCAAACCAAAAAACCAGGAGAAAATGAAAAAAAGAAAAAAGAAAAACTAAAAAAAAAGGAAAAGAAACCAGGGTCTAGGAGATAGATGATGGAGACCCTTCTTCTGGAGGACCCTGTTTTTTGTGTGTTTGTTTTCTCTTTTTTTCTGTTGCTTGTTTTTCCTCTTTTTTTTCTGGTTGTTCTGGTTTGGGGCCCTTCTTCATGAGGCCCCCGTTTTTTGGTGTTTCTGGATTTTCTTGTTTTTCTGTTTTTTTTCCTGGTTTGGTGCCCTTCAACCAGAAGATCTTGGTTTCTTTCACTTCCATAGGACCTTGTTTTTTCCTCTTCCAGTAGACCATGTTCTTTCTTTCGATTTTTCTGCTTTCTCCCCCTGTTTCTGAGCTTTTTGGCTTGGGAGGGGTCCCGGGGGGGGGGGGGTACCACATATAAATCTATCAGTACATGTACGCATGCAGATACCTTGCTTTGGCCCCCTTACCGGCCGGGATTGCGAAGGAGAAGTCTCACCAACTCTCTGAGTGTCCAGCGGGAGGCCTCCCCTGGCGCATCCAAACCCTTCCAAGCCCCGCCCCTAACGGCTCGTTGAACAAATGCAGCCAACACTGGCCATCTTTTTTTTCAGGCTCGCTACTCTGGACCACTACATCGTTAGGCTGCCGAGTCGAGGTTTTCGCAAGCTGACTGGCATGGCCATCTGCAACAGGGTAGAACAAAGAGCTCATCCGGCCAAAGGAAATTCATTGCACCACCTTGTCCCGACACACTTCCCCGAGGGTGACTAAAAAACTCCAACAACACAAAAACCAAACACCCATTCTTGACAGAAAGAAGCAGAGTCTACCTTCAGCAAAGCACTTCCCCTGAATTTCGCATCTCTTGTGAAAGAGCCCATGAGGCATGGATGTCTCAGATTGCACTCGCCTTGTCACCAGAAGAAAAATAAAAGATCTGGTCGAAAGTTGAAGGCGATGCTGCACCAAATCAGGATGCCAAACCGGATCTCTTTTGCAGAAAACCGCTCCTTCTAAATAGTAGCCCGGCTCGTTGTGAAACCGAATCCGGCCAGACCTTCATTCACAACTCATCCACAGGACGTTCAACACTACAGCACCTCCCGACTGCGAGCTATCTGATCGCACCTTGGCCATGTCGCGGGCATTGAGTTTCACAGGCTCCTCGTAGGCTGTCGTTCGCTCAATCCGGCTGCTCGTTCGAACGCAAAACACTTGGCTATGGCCATGTTGCGTACACATGTGAGCCACAGTCAATAGTCATTGTACCCCGCCATGGGAATTTGGTGAGACACAACACAACACTGAATATTGCCTGTTGCTGCATCAAATTTGCGCAACTCCTAGAAAGGCGCTATCAATTGGGAACTTACAGGACCGAAGGCCTTGACAGGCGCCGGTCAAACCATGGGCCCCGTGGGCAACCATCCCCTAGCAAGTGTTTTCTCCCTTCGGCCTTCCCTCGCGCGCAACACTCAGCGCATCTCAGAGTATCTTGCAAAAGCCGCCCATGCCTTTTGTCAGACCAACGAACCCTGCTTGCGACACATTGCCAAGCTTTGGTCCAGCTCTTCTGCTCCCCCACTGCACGCCCCAGCCAAGCCACCGTCCCCGCAGCTCTTGCGATCACCTGGCAAGAGATAGTCGCTCATGGCCCAAGCTGCTGACCTTCCTATCAAAATTCGAATCCACCGCTTTCCGCACGCGGAAACCGCCCATGGTCAACACTTCCCACGAAAAACCCTCGCGAAGCAGGCGGAAAATACGGCCTCGCCTCCACCGCAGCGGCCTTAGATGTCTACATCTGTTCATGTCTGCAAGCACACTTGTGTGTGTGGGCGTGTTTGGGTGGGTGGGTGTGGGTGGGTGTGGGTGGGTGTGGGTGTGGGTGTGGGTGTGGGTGGGTGTGGGTGGGTGTGGGTGTAGGTGGGTGTGGGTGGGTGTGGGTGTGGGTGGGTGTGGGTGGGTGTGGGTGTGGTGTGTGGGTGGGTGTGGGTGGGTGGGTGGGTGGTGGGTGTGGGTGGGTGGGTGGGTGGGTGGTGGGTGGGTGGGTGGGTGGGTGGGTGGGTGGGTGGGTGGGTGGGTGGGTGGGTGGGTGGTGGGTGGGTGTGGGCGTGGGTGGGTGTGGGTGGGTGTGGGTGGGTGTGGGTGTGGGTGGGTGTGGGTGGGTGTGGGTGGGGTGTGGGTGTGGGTGGGTGTGGGTGGGTGTGGGTGTGGGTGGGTTGGGTGGGTGTGGGTAGGGTGGGGGTGGGTGTGGGGGGTGGGTGTGGGGGGTGGGTGTGGGGTGGGTGTGGGTGGGTGTGGGTGTGGGTGGGTGTGGTGTGGGTGGGTGTGGGTGGGGTGTGGGTGTGGGTGGGTGGGTGGTGTGGGTGGGTGTGGGTGGTGTGGGTGTGGGTGGGTGTGGGTGTGGGTGGGGTGGGTGGGGGTGGGTGGTGGGTGGGGGTGGGTGTGGGTGGGTGCAGGGTGGGTGTGGGTGGGTGTGGGTGTGTGTGTGTGGGTGTGGTGTGTGTGGTGTGTGGGTGTGGGTGTGGGGTGTGGGTGTGGGTGTGGGTGTGGGTGTGGGTGTGGGTGTGGGTGTGGGTGTGGGTGTGGGTGTGGGTGTGGGTGTGGGTAGGTGGGTGTGTGGGTGTGGGTGTGGGTGTGGGTGGTGGGTGGGGGCAGTGGTGGGGGTGGGGTGGGGTGTGGGTGTGGGTGTGGGTGGGTGTGGGTGTGGGGTGTGGGTGTGGGTGTGGGTGTGGGTGTGGGTGTGGGTGTGGGTGTGGGTGTGGGTGTGTGTGGTGTGGGTGTGGGGTGTGGGTGTGTGGGTGTGGGTGTGGGTGTGGGTGGGGGTGGGTGTGTGGGTTGTGAGGTAGGTGTGTGTGGGTGGGTGGTGTGGGTGGGGGGTGGGTGGGGTGTGGGGAGGTGGGTGTGGGTGTGGGTGTGGGTGTGGGTGTGGGTGAGGTGGGTGTGGGTGGGGGTGGGGGTGTGGGTGGGGGTGGTGTGGGGGGGGTGTGGGTGGGGGTAGGGTGGGTGTGGGTGGGGGGTGTGGGTGTGGGTGTGGGTGGGGTGGGGTGTGGGTGTGGGTGTGGGTGGTGGGGGTGGGTATGGTGGGGGTGGGTGTGGGTGTGTATGTGGGTGTGTGTGGTGGGTGTGGGTGTGGGTGGTGGGTGTGGGTGTGGGTGGGTGTGGGTGGGTGTGTTTGGGTGGGTGTGGGTATTGTGGG